ATACAATGTTTACTTGAAATATTTTTTTTAAGTTAATAAATTAAATATATAATGGGTAATTATAAGAATATTTCAACTTAACTCAAGAAAACATAACTCAATAGGTACTCAATAGTAAAACTGTAAAAAAACAAAGTAAAATAAACAATAATAAAACAAAAACTCAATAATATTATTATAACTCATAAAACTAGAATAACATAAAAAAGATGAAAACTATTCTCCTAATTTAAACTTGCCTGAATGGATTTATGAAATTATCAAGAAAGACTTTGATGAATTGAGTAGCGATAATTTATTGACAAAATGTCTTCATGGGCAAACTCAAAATTGTAATGGAAAACTAAATGATATTATTTGGTCCCGATGTCCTTAAAATGTTTATGTAAAGACAGATGTTCTTGAAATGGGAGTAAACTCAGGAGTTTTTTCTTTTAATGAAGATTCATCTGATATTTATCTAGTATTTAAACATTTAAATTCTAGATAAATATCAGATGAATCTTCCAATTCAGTAAAAAAAGACCAAAAGCGGTTATAAAATAAGATGAAATAAGGACAACTACAAGCGGTTAGAAAATAAGGTTAGATTGATATGATCAAGAACAGTTATCCAAAAATATCTACCAAAAAGGATATTTTTAAAACTTTTTTAACTTATTTGCCTTTTATCTAAAAATGAAAATTTTAACATAATTTATGAACTAACATTATCTCAACATTAAAAAATAGAAAATGTTTAAATCTCCAAATTTTCCCCAATGGTTCAATCAGGGGCTATTCTGGACCGTTTTTGACAGTGTCGACTGTATTTGGGCGCCACCCAAATGAAAATTTGAGGCCTTTTTTTTTTTTAATTTTTTTTATGGCAAATGTTGTTTTTTTCAAAAAAAAAAGCTGAATTTCTGCTAAAGTCCGCCGAAATGAGGGGGTGCTGCCGTCCAAGTTTTTAAAAATGTTTTTACGGCAAATATTGTTTTTTCCGAAAAAAAAAGCAGAATTTCTGCTAAAGTCCACCGAAATGAGGGGGTGCTGCCGTCCAAATTTTTTTCCTAGAATAGGCCCTGTCAATACATATATATGTAGAGAATGAACTAGAATCTTGATAATTGAATGGATGTTTATCGATTGCTAAGTCTTTTTTGAACCTTACCCCCTAGAAATTAGTTGATTTTTAGTTTTTTTGGGACTTAAAAGAAATATTTTTGTTTTTATATAATGATCTTAGTTCATCCTCTATCAGAAAATAATATTGCCAAGTACCGAGTTGTTTTAATTAGCTATTCTGGAATAATCGTGTTTTGAAAAATAAAATAAAATATGCTATTTTGTTTGTTTTCTATTAATAAAGTCCAATTTTTTTTTTTTCAATAATACTTCATATTTTATTATTTTTATTAAATTAAATTTATAAAACTAATTTTAGAATTGATTAAAGTTATTTTACTAAAAAAAATATTTCCTGTGAAGCCACCATCCATAAAGGATGTCAAGCAAAATTTAAATAATAAAAAGTAGAAGACCATTTGCTCTCTTCCGCGGAGATTTTAATCAAACAGAAATCATTATATTATAGAAGAGTTCTGCTACTGAAATTGGTTTTAAACTAGTATTGGAAGTTAGTATCTGTTGTCAGTCTGTTTACATATGTTTACATATATATGAAGTTTTTTGTTACTGTTATTTAAATGAGTTTTTCAAAAGATTTATTTGCTTTAATTATTTTCCTTTTTTTTTTTTTTTACATATGTTAAGTGTTATTTCTATTTTTTTAAAAGTGAGATGCCTAATTTATTTGGTGCTATTTATCTGTTTATTATCATACTTTAATATTGACTGTCGGTTTTAAATAGCCTTTTTTAAATATTTATCTTCTTTCCTCTCACAATATTGTTATTGTTGTTGTTATTATTATTATTATTATTATTATTATTATTATTATTGTAATTATTATTATTATTATTGTTGTTATTGTTATTATTATTATTGTTATTACTATATTATCATTATCTTGGTGTCAATCCTTTGATATAAATATAATTTATTTAAAATTGGTTAGAAGTCACACATAAATTCTGTGGATATAAAGCAAATTAAATCAATCAGTTCTATGCTTTGAATCATATTCATGGCCAAACGTAGTACTCTAATTAATGCAACATTTTATAATAGCAAGAATTTACAAAAAGTAGAAATGGGCTTTACTACAAATTACCCCAAATTGTCAGTATAAGGCCTTGGGTGTTGCCCAGAAGTTTTTGGATAATTGTAAATTCATCACATTTTGAGATATTTATATTTTTTACAGTACTTTAAATGGTGTATTCTCTATATGTACAGTACAGTTGATTTGATAGGTTTTAAGATGCTAAACATTGTCCTATCAAAATTCTAGGCACACTTTAACTCTAACATAATTTAAAACTGAAGTAATAATAGTGGTCTTAGAATTTCAATAGAATGTCTAGTTTGGCTACAATTTGGCAATTTTGGTCAATCCTATTTTAAATTAAACAAATAAAATCCAATCATTTATAATATTTGCTTCTGTGAACCAAAATTGTTTTTGTTTCTTTTTTATTTTAAATAATTCATAAATATAAATCAAAATATGTATTTCATTAAATCAAATTCTTACAAAATTTTTCAACTGATTGGCAGTTAACATCTCAGTTATTGAAATATTATAGATTGTAGGCGGAAAACTAGAAACAATTCTTTTGCAGGCATGATTGTTTTTTTTGTTATTCTGAGCAACCCAAAATCGTTTTGTTGTTTTCATTTTAGTATGAACTAATTCTAAAGTCTGTTCACAGAATCTTCCCCATGACACTCCATGTCTTTCAATGAATAATTTAACATGAGCAGTTGTTTGCATGAACTTTCCATGTTACTGTCAGTACTTTACCTAATACTTGGTCACAGTACTCCTGCAAAATTGTATAACTCTCCTCAAAATCATCTAGGTTTTTTGCAAATGTTGGTTCCAGAATTATTTCCAAACATTTTTTGGACAAACCTGTCAAATTTTCTAAGAGTGTCAATGAATGGAAGAAGAAGATTAGGTATTCTTTGGGCCAAATGATCCATTCTTTTTAATATAGCTCTAATTACATTTTCATCATAACTTCCTCTATGTTACCCTTGTTGTAATAGATTTATCTCACTTGTTTAATCTTTAAACTCTGGCCAAAAGGAAATGGTAAATTTAGCCAGATGTTTGACCAAACCCATCAACATCTGTATTTCTGGAGGAGGTATAATATCTAGTACTAACTTATTACAAGGCTCAAATTGCAATATCCATAATTATTTCTGGTCATTAAATTCTTAGTTTATTAAAAACTATGAACACTGTATTAATGAAACAGACTATTTATCATATTACAAAATTTAATGAAAAAACAAAACAATAAATTTACTACTGCAAAAATAATATAACAGTCAAAACTTACATTTTTTAAATTATTGTTTTTTTAAACACCAGGTAATTAAAGGATTATAAATAAATAAAAAATTTATAAAAAATAATTAATACTAAAAGTCCGAAATTTGTGCGTTAATTAAAAAATCAATTGGCATGAAATTATGTTAATGCTATTTGCACATTGTATGAAACATTAATATCAATTTTTGTTTAGGGAGAAAGTTTAAGTAATTATTTATAAAAAAATTTAAATGTTTTAAATTAGAAATTGATTAATTGATAAAAAAAAAAAATTAAAATATTATAAATTAAGTTATTAGAGTTGCTTTGTTTTAAAATAACTATAAAAATTTTAAATTAGTTTTATATATTTTTAAACTCCTCTGTCTTTAATTTAGTATACATATCTGTGAAAAGTTACGAGCATTTAATTTATAAAAAAATATTGAATAAGATTTAAATAAGATATAAAAGTATTTTTTGTCTTATTTAACGATTTCTTTTATTTAAAATATTTAGTTTCTTTTGTTGTTACTAGCAGTTGTTTTTTAATAGTTATACCGTACTTTATTGTGCTTTATTTTTCTAGTTTTATCTAATGATTTATAAAATGAATTAAAATAAAGTTCAAATCATAATCTTTTATAATAGTAAAAATAAAAGTAATAATATGGTTTTACAATAAGATTTTAAATCATAATTCAAGATAAATTAATTATATATTTTTTTGAATAACAGCTACTAAGTTTAGTGATCAAAACAGAGTTTTACCATTTTTAAAAAGCTAAAAATTTAAAGATCGCAAGCATTTCCATTTTTATTGCAATCGCTTAATTCAAACCCTGTATCATCTTTTTGAAGTAGACATGGGCGCAGACAACATTCTTAAAGAACTGCATCTTTTTGTAAGGATAACCAACAACTACATATAAACTTTCCCCTATGCCTTAAAATTCCAAGCAAAATTTTGCTTAATTTCATATCTGATGTCAATGAAAAATTTACACATTAATAATTGCACTAAATCCTCATTCGTGGATAAGTTATTGTTTGTTTCAAAGTTTTTTGCTAAAATTTTGTGCCATGTTTTCATAGTCGCTTTAGAGTTAGCGTAGTGGTGAGTTGTTTTGTGAAATAACTTTTTAGTATTTGTTCAATATTATTTTTATAAACTAGAAAAGTTGTGCTTTATTTCTATGTGGTTTAATTATACTCACTTGCTTTTAACAAGTTTATTGATGTCAAAACTTTGTTATATTTCTGTAATAAAGTTTATGTCTAAGATATGTTTTTTTTTTTAATTTTATTCTTTTTTTTTTAAGTTTTTCATTTATCTATGCACCTTCCAAATTTTATTAAAATTTGGCAGGTGCAGAGATAAATGAAAAAAAATTAGCAGTTGCCTTAAATAATATATTTTCAAGATCGCTAAATGGCTTTATCCCATCGCAATTTGCAATCGCTTAATTCATCCCTTGTATGTGTGTATGTGTATATATATATATATATATATATATAATATATATATATATATATATATATATATATTAAATTTGTATTATATTTGTCTTAGTTATTCCCCATATTACTAATGAAATTCAAGATTGGATTGAGAATGTTGCTAAGCAATCAGTTGACAAAAGTGGCAATTTACCAGATATATGTGTTATTGAGGTTTGTCTTATCACAATACATATACAAATTTTACTAACATAAAAAAATGACACAAGATAATTTGAGATTACAATATAATTCTTATTAGTTTTTATTTAAGATAATAGTTTTTTAATAATTAGAAAAGAAAAATAGACAAAAAAGTACTTTATGAACATTTGTAGATTTAAAAATCTGTAAAAAAAAATTATTTTGTTGAAGTTGGGTTTATTTTGATTGACTATAAAAATTATTTTATATTTTAAATGTAACTTTGATGGAGCTGAGTTATGCGTAAGCCTCTATCTCTTACATACCATTAGCTAAGAATATGAATTAAGTACCAACAGATTATATAGAGATGATGATCTTTGTTATTTCCATTTTATTAGCAGACCAATCAGAGCAGACCAATCACAATCAGAAAAGACAAAGAAAAACATCATCAATCTTTTTAAACAAAATGAAAACTAAATATAACAAAAAAACAAACATTTTAAAACTGTTAACATCCTTGACATTTCATGCAATCCGTCTGATAAATTTCAGCCTTATAGAAAACTAGGTGACAATCTTTTATATATCAATTTGAATCATCTTCCAAATATTCTTAAATCTATTCCCGCAATAATATCTAACTGCATAAGAAATGATTCCTCAAGTAAAAAAGTATTTGATTGAGCTGTGTTTTTTTATAAAAATGTCCTTAAGTCAAGTGGATTTAAAGAGATCATTACTGCTATTCCTAACAACTTAAAATAGTTAAAATTCATGAGCATGAAACACTATTTGGTTTTAGTTGAAAATATTTTAATTTAATTGATAAATACTTCCCAAATAATCTTAAGTTCCATAAACTGTATAGCTGTCTTCTAAACATTGGCAACATTATTACTTCACACCATACTTTATAATTACTTTTTATTTCCATTGTGTAATTCCCATCAGGTTGATTCCCACCTAATGAAAAATTTAAAATGTCTTCTATATTGGACTTACAGAAAAAATAATTAAACTTTATTTTCCAAAAATAAGAATTCCTTCTTTAATGAAAGTAAAACTAATTCTACCAAACTTTCTAAATTATTATAAGAAGTCAGAAAAAAAAAATGGTTTAAATTCCTGTCCTTTTTTGGAAAATTCAAGACCTAGCTTTTTAAAACTGGTGGGAAATCATGTAACCATGCAATATTTAATGGAGAAAAGTTGTATAAATTCATCTCTGTTGAATTTATTGTGTCTAAGTGGCGTCATGTAAACACAGATATGATTAATAACTCAAATAGGACACTCTGCAGTATTTTTCAACAAAGAGGACACTCTGCAGTATTTTTAGTATATATTTTTTTGTTGTTATGTTTTTAAGATTTGTTTTTGAGCCTTTTCGAAAAAACAAATAAAATTTAAACAACCGTTCATTTTTACAATTTTTGTGGTTTGTATTTTGAATTGAAATAATATAAAGCAAATTTGGTAAAAATTGTAAATTAAAAGTTTGTAATTAGTTATTACAAACTTCCTCAAATAAACTTTTTATTTGAGGTTTTTAATGCTTTTATGCATAAGTTTGTAATAACTTATGCATAAAAGCATTAAAAAACTAAAAAAATTAGAGTTCCTTAACTTTTGAAATAAAATACAAGCAAAATAAATTTTGTTTTAACAATTTGACCACAGCTTTGAACATTCCAAAAATTTGCTAAATATAAAAGATTTTAAGAAATAAATAACATCAAATCTTTTATTATAACTAATGTTTTTATATTAGCTTCTAAATAAAGTAACAAACTTTTAGTAATTTTTTTCTTTGAATTATTTATAAAATTTGTACATAATTTTATTTATATATATTAAATAATTTATATGAGTGTTCATTTTTGATGCGATCTCCACTAATGTTTTTATATTATTAAAATGCTATTAAATAAAGTTAAAATTAACTGCTAATAGAATTTTCTTGTTACTTTTCTGACAAAAGAAAATTTTTTCTCTCCCTTAAAATGAAAATGATTTAATTATTTTTTCTTTTATACTACTACAAAGAATTTTTAAGTTTTTTTGTTTACTTCATTTACCTAACAAAGAATTTCAAAAATTTAATTATTCCTTTATTATGTTTTACTTTCTACAAATTAATGTATGTTTGAAAAAATGTATTTCTGTACAAAGCATGAAATAGTTTAAAAAAAAAGTTCAATCTTTTTTTAAAGCTTACTTATTTGCTAGCTTGTATTTATTTAAAAACCTTTTTTAAATCAGTTAATGAAAACATAATTTAAATTAAATATACTATATTTTAAAGGGTATTCTAACAAAAAAGTATTTTTAAAGATTCGATTTTTTTATTCCAAACATAATTAAAATCTAAGTTAAATTATCTTAGCGTTTTTCAAGTTTTATTTTAGTTGAGTTATATATCTTTGGCCATTGGTCAATTTATGATAAGTGCAAATATGACATTTTATAGGAAAAGAGTTTGAAAATTTGATTTGTTGCTATAAATCGGGCAATATTTAAAAATAGGTTATTTTTCATAAAAATAAATTCAAAAAAAAAAACTACAGCAATCATAGTTTGACCAAATGAAAGATCTAACGAAATATAACAAAACTGCATACTTATCTCAAAATGACCAATTTTACGCTTATAATAAATTGACGAATGGCCACATATTTTTTTCATCATTTTAATAATAGGATTTTTATCAAAGATACAAAAGCATTAATGGATCAAAAACAAATTGCTGAGGATTTTTTAAAACAACATTCAAAAAAATTAATCAGAGCATAACTATTGATTTCTTTGGCTAACCGGATTGGCGGTTAACCAGATTTTGTTCGAATATCAAATATCTATATTTGAATAATAAAAACTGACTCTTGACTTTTTAGTTTTTAAACACACTTTTTTAATAAGTTGATTTTAAAGAATTAAACACAATTGATTTTAAAATGCTTATATAAAATTAATGACATAATTTTATGAGTTAAATTACATTACTTAAGTTTTCACGCCAATGTTTTACGTTTTCAAGACATCATTGTTGTTGCTTATGTTTATAAAAGCCGGAAATATTATTACAAAGAAAAGAAATCAATTAACACCAGGGCATGCAGAAAATTCAGAGTTACGTGGAAACTTTGTTGCTGATAATGAAGAAGATAATGATGATGATGATGATGATGATGATGATGATGATGATGATGATGATGATGATGATGATGATGATGAAATTCAAATCAGCAGCGATGTTGAGATGATGAATGATAATGACGATAATTAAATAATACTTGTAAATTATTCCGACCTTTTTTAATTTCTATTTTTTTATATCTTTTTCCATGTTTTGTAGTAAATATATAATATAGAACTGTAGTCACTGACTGACTTGATGATGTACAGTTTAACATTGATTTTTTTTAAATTAGTTGAAACAAAACACTATATTCGTTAAAATTTGGAAGATCCTATATTCAGAAAGCGTCACTAATGACAATGAGTATTAACTACATTGGTTGCAAAACCATCATTCTTGACGGGCAAATATTTAACAAAAGCAAAACAGTTTATGCTTTATAAAATTTTTCGGGTAAGTGAATAGTCGGTTAACCGCAAATTGATGGAAACTGTTATCCGGTTTTTTAAATGGATACTAAACAAATACACTAATCATAACATCAGAATACACTCATTTTATTCTTAAGTATTTTTTTTTTAAAGATTGGTGGAGTAATTGGAGATATTGAAAGTATGCCATATGTTGAAGCAATGCGTCAGTTTCAATTTAAAGTTGGACCTGATAATTTTTGCTGTTGTCATGTAAGCTTAATACCTCAGGTAAGTTGGGCATATTATGTATATTCTGTATAGTATATAAATGTAAAATAACATAGATATAAATAAAGTTTAAATTAACAAAAATATAGCACATTAAAGTGTTTTATTTATTATTATCAATATTTGTATATGTTTATTTATAACTTTACTTTTATAACTTTTTGTTTTCTTTATTTTCTTATTTTTTTTAAATTTGATTACTTTTTAGTTTATTCTATTTATTTTTTTAACAAAGATTTGCATAGTTTTAAAAAACTGAAAATGCAAACCAACATTTTAAGAGAGAGTGGTATAAACAAATATGGCAACAAAAGTAAAAAAAAGATAAAAATGTTATCAGAGCAGTGTTATTGGGAAACCATTAATGCAACACAATGATTGCATATAAATGACCAACAGAGCTGTCCAGGCTCTGTTGGTCACTTATATGCAATCTGGGAGATGTGATAAAAAAATGTGTAGATCTGGGAGATAAGTAATAATCTTCTAAAGTAGAAAAATAAAATATAAATGCTCAGGAGGTAGAGGAGAAAAAAACTAGTCACTCTGTGTGTAGATCATATGCAACAAAGAACAAATTTACTGATATTGGAGACTGTTAATGTGTGATGGTGTAGTGCATTAGTTAGTTACCTTCGGTTGTCTGGTATGGTCTTGTTATGTTTTCATCCATTTTCAAATCAGGTAAATAGAAAGCTAAACACTCTCACTTCTTGCACTTATGGGCTAGCACATCAGAGCCAGACCTACAAAATGGGTTTCAATTGATCAAATGCACACATTAGTCACTGTAATCCACAAGCCATCACTCTTATCCAAAAAAGCTAAGACCCTGTACTGGTGTGGAATGTTTTTCCTATATGATATCAGTATTTTTGAGTATTTTGATGCAAATTCCAGTCAATGTTTCATTTGTTTAGAAGTTAAAAAAGGTTTATTTTGAACCACTCTATTCTCTATATGGTTGTTCTCTTATACAATTTTTGATTGTTTGAGGAGTCACTGTAATGTCATAATCTTCTTGAATTTTTAAAGCTATTTTAGCTGCAAAAATAAATCTATTTTTCTTCACATTAATGATGACAATAATGATATTATGATCAATTGCACTAGTGATTTTGCGTTTTTTTTCTCTAACAGCCACACTAGCAATGGTTCCAATCAGAAAATGCTTCTTATCAATTGAAAAAAATAATGTTATACTTTGACTCGAGTAACAACAATGTTTTGGAATGGCCATCTCAAAGTCCGGACTTGAATCCAATAGAAAATTGGTGATATTTTCTGGACAGAAAAATTGACAAACGAGCATTTAGATGTAAAGACAACTTGAAAGAAGCTATAATAAGGGCATGGGATAATATAACAGCAGAAGAAACCCAAAATTTGGCCAGTTCAATGTCAAACCATCTAGATGAGGCCATCAAGGCTAAAGGAGGCCCCACTCAAAACTAATTTTCATGGAGTTTGATTATTTGATATTATTTTTGAACTGTACGATTATTTTTTTTGCAGTCAATTTTATGCATCATTAGATCAATTGAGTAAAATTCAATAGGTTTGAAAAGCAATTAGTTTACCAATACACAAATTAATTCTTAAAACAATACTTAATAAGATATCTAAAAATAACTTATAAATATTTTAACAGATAACTCATTTTTTTGATGCAATCTTTAAAGTTATGATTATTTTTTAAGTGTACGATTATTTTTTTTGCATACTGTATATATATATATATATATATATATATATATATATATATATATATATATATATATATATATATATATATATATATATATATATATATATATATATATATATATGTATATATATATATATTGTATATTTGTATAGTTTATCACTTATGGGACAGATTTTACAAAAAATGAACGTTTACGGGAACATTTTAGTGTACCTGTTAATTTTTTGTCCCCGTAAGCATTATTTTTTTTGTAAAAAATGTACCAATAAGAAACGAAAAGTACATACATCGACTATCAAATAGCCTGACTTGCAAGGGAGTGCTGCTACATTGACTGAGGGTTTGGTTAGGCCAGGCATCAAGGTCAAGCTTAGGGTTAGGGTTGCAGCAAGGTTTAAGTTTGGTTATATTATTGTAATTAATTGTTTTTGTAAATAGATGAAGTTAAAAATGAAATATAATATAAAATAAATATATAAAAATAACAAAAGTTAATATAAAAAATATATTTTTATAATAAAATAATAAAATTAAATATGTATAAATATATATATATAAATATATGTATATATATTATATATGTATATATTATATATGTATATATTATATATGTATATATATATATATATATATATATATATATATATATATATATATATTTATATATATATATATATATATATACATACATATATACAGCATGTCAAAAAAGTCACCCCCTGATGACTTTTCAATAAAAACAAATTTTTTTATGCTTAAATTTAGATTTTTGACCTTAATTTTTTTTTTAATATTGAATTTATATTAAAAAAACGTTTTTATAACAAGAAATTAATATTCTTATACTTAAAACAAAAATTGTTCACTAAAATAGAAAAAGTCAAAAAACCCCTTAAATAATTATTTTGCTGATGTAAAATTAATAGTCTATTTGTGCACCTTTTGCCTTGATGACTGCAAGACATCTTTTGGGCATTGAATCTACTAAGTTTTTAAGCCATTGTGGGTCAAATTTTTCCCACTCTTCAAAAAGAATCGCCTTTAATTGCGACTCGATGGTTTTTGATCAGCTACTTTAATTTTAAAAAGATTCCATAAATTTTCGATCGGGTTTAGATCTGGTGACTGAGGAATCCACTCTAACATCTTAATACTGTTTTTTTTTAACCACTGAGTAGCTAATTTTGATGTGTGTTTAGGATCTCCATCCTGTTGAAAGATAAAATTACGAGATAAGCCAGCACTTCTGGCGCTTAATCTCAGTTTTCGCTTCAGAATATCAGTATAAACCTCTTTTGTCATTATTCCATCAATGAATTCAAGTTTGCCAACACCACTCCAAGCAAAGGAGCCCCAAACCATCATTCGACCTATGGAAAAAGGAAAAAACAAGTTAAAAATATATATAATATTGAAAATTTTATAATAAAGCTTAATGTTACCTCCTCCATGATTGACATTTGGTCTCATACATTTAGGGTTTAAGCGTTCACCATTTTTTCTCCATTTGCGTATGACACCATCAGAACCAAATAAACATATTTTTGTTTCATCGGACCATAAAACTCTACGCCATTGGTTGTTAGTCCAATTTGAATGTTTCTTAGCCCAAGCCAATCTTTTCATTTGATTCTTTTTACTCAAAAAGGGCTTCTTTGGAGCAAATCTACCTACAAAACCTTGATTTTTCAACCAATTGCGAAAAGTTTGAGGATTTGCAGTTATATCATGATCTGTTTGTAAATCTTTTGCAAGCTTTGATGCAGATAATCCTCGATCTTGTTCAACTTTTAGTTAAGTAATCTTAGCTGGGTGTCCTTTTCTTGGCAAATTTTTTATGGTACCCATTTTTTTATATTTTTTAATGATATTTCCTACACTATCAGGTTTAACATTTACTATTTTAGAAATAGTTTTATACCCTTTTCCACTTTTATAGTGTCCCAGGATCAGCTCTTTTACTGATTCATGAATTTCACATCTTTTCACCTTAATTTTTTTATTAGGAACCTGAAAAGAAAACAAACTTTGCTAAAAAAATAAGTTAGAACAACTTCTATCAATCAAATTTGTTTGTTTTTGGCTTTTTTTCAGCAATTCTTCAAGTTATACAACAGAAAGAAAAAAAATGAATAGGGGGTGATACACTTTTTTGACTTACACTTTTTCTAATTTAGTGGATTTTTGTTTTAAGTATATAAATATTAATATCTTGTTATAAAAAGTTTTTTTAATATAAAATCAATATTTTAAAAAAAATTAAGGACAAAAATCCAAATTTAAGCATAGAAAAATTTGTTTTTATTGAAAAATTATCAGGGGGTGATGGACTTTTTTTACATACTGTATATATATATATATATATATATATATATATATATATACATATATATATATATATATATATATATATATATATATATATATATATATATATATATATATATATATATATATATATATATATATACATATATATATATATATATATATATATATATATATATATATATATATATATATATATATATATATATATATATATATATATGTATATATATATAATATTTATATATGTATATATATATATATATATATATATATTTATATATGTATATATATATATATATATATATATATATATATATATGTATATATATATATATATATATATATATATATATATATATATATATATATATATATATATATATATATATATATATAAAGAAAAAAAGCTAAAATATCTAAACCTCAGTAGCTAAAATATGGATCATAGCTGTAAAAGTTAGTTACAGAATCATTAGAATTATGATTAAATTTAACTAAAAATGTAAATAAAGACTTTAATAAATTATTAAAAATCGCCAATATTATAGGTGATAAATAGAAAGATTGACCAACTGAAAAAGCCAATTAAATTAATTAAAATATTAAAATTCCATTTATAATGAGCAAACAATCTTATAATAAATAATAAAATTATATTAATTATTCATACCATCAAATTAAAATCTCTTTATTTTTTATTTTGTTCAAAATATTGATTAAAATATTACATATTGGCAGCTTATTGTCATTATTAACTTTGTATCTAAAAAGAAAAAAACAAACAGCAACTTCTTAACAACTTAGCAGCTAATTAAACAAATTTTATTTTAAACATCGCATAAGTAAATGTATAACTTCATTACATTGAGCCATGTAATGAAGTTATACATTTATTTAAGCCATGCCAATAAAGCTAAAAATATTTTGTTATTCAATTTTAAATTTTGTACAAAAAAATTTCTTAAATTAGAAACAAAAAAAAAAGCAACTTTTAAAGAAGTTTTTAAGAGTAAGTTTAACTTTATAACATCTAAATCCAAGTTTAACTTTATAAAATCTAAAATCTATCACTACCAGACTAACAAAACTGTACTAAATAATTAGATTTATATAAAACATGAATATCTAACATAAAATTATTTAAAAGCAATAAAAAATGAAAAACAACTTATATATAAAATAAGATCATCACCAGCTTCTATAAATTTAAACAGCCTGTTAAGAAACAATTTTAATACATCACCTACAACACAGAACTGTTTCATTACCTAACACCTTGAAAAATTAAACTTTTTAAGTTTAGTGTCTGAGTGAGTTTTAAGTGTAGTAAGTGAGTGTTACTTTCACGAATGCAGAGTTTATGTTACAATCTATATCTAGTATTATTTACTTAGTCAACAATCAGTTACTAATTGGTAATTAATAGTTAGTTTATGAACTAAATTCGCAACTAAAATTTATTTATTTACAACATATACTTAGGTATATTAGGTATAAAAAAAACAACTAAAAGTAATCAAAATTAAAAAATAAAAAAAGCAACTAAAAAAATAATCGAAAATAATAAAAAAAAAAAACAACTAAAAATAGTCTTTATCAATTTGTTCATGAATTTAAAAATAAAAAATAAAAACTTTTTTTTATATAACTAAACTATTCAAAACTCCATTAATTACTTTAGATGACTTGACTAATTTTTGCAACTGCTTCAGGAGTGATATATTCTCTATATTAATGAGCCTTCTTTTTTTTTAAGTAAACATCTATTCCATCTGTAAAGCGTTCTTTTTATTTCTGGTCTTTCTTCTTTTGTATTCCTTTTTTTTTTTTAAACTTAAAATAGTCTTGGTAAAGTAACAATGTTAATATAGTTACTGCTTTTTAAATGTGGCATTTTTTTCAGACATCTGGAGGTGAAATGAAGTCTAAGCCTACTCAAATGAGCGTCAGAGAATTGCGAGGATTGGGACTTACCCCAGATTTGGTAAACTAAAAAAAAAAAATTTTTATTTAATTGTTGTTCACTCTAAAATATTTACTTTTAGTTCAACTAGTTGAATTTAAAAAAACTGTTTCTAGATTTTGGCACGTAGTAAATGTGAAATAGACTCTTCCTTAAAACAAAAAATATCAATGTTTTGTCATGTAAACCCTGATCAGGTGAAATTTTATCATGTACAATTATTTTATCTTTGTTGTATAATATTAGATTAATTTTTAATACTTTATTTATTTCCGAAGGTAATCAGTGTTCCTGATGTGTCATCATTATATCGAGTTCCAACTCTGCTTTATGATCAAGGTCTGCTCAATCAAATTGCTAAAAAACTATCTTTAGATTTGCCAGTTATAGATTCAAAATCGTTTCTTTTTAATTGGAAACAGTTAGCTGATAGGTATATGTTTTTAAAGTTTATAGTTTTAGCTTTTTTTAATATAAAAAGTTCCAAATCTATTATTGAAAGTTTTAACTAAAAAGCACTTGTAACTAAAAAATTTGCATATTTGTTACTTTTTTTTTTTTTTTTTACAGGTATGATCAACCCTACGAAGAAGTGAAAATTGCTCTTGTTGGTAAGTATACAAGACTTGAAGATGCTTATATATCTGTCATCAAAGCATTAAGCCATGCAGCACTTGCTTCACGAAGAAAGCTTGTTATTAAGGTTGGTGATGTTATCAATACATTTGTATTTATTTATAAGAAGTTTTAATAAAGTTGTTTAGTCGTTTCATAGGTTTAGCACGTGTGATAGCATCAATAACCAATTTTTTATTAAATTATTACCACAAATTGTAATAACTCAACAAAAAAGTTTTCATAGGCACCCTCTTTTTCACTTTTTTAAAACATGATAAGTTTGTGGTATGGTCAGCCATAGTAGTTACTTGTGGTATGGTCAACCTTAATAATTTTTCAATAGCTGAAATATGGTAATAGCATCAATAATAAGACATCTTTTAAACAATACTGAAAAGAATAATTAAAATATTTTATTGAAATTTTCTTTAGCTTCGAACAACATTATTGAACTGTAAAAGTATTAACAAACAACTCGAATAAAATATTTATCAATTTTTGTGACTGATCTTGGTATTTGTTTTAATGAGGCTTATTTCAGAAGATATAAATTTTTTTCCTTGATTTTTTAAAAGATTTATATACAACATAAAAAGTTATTTATTAATACCCATCATGTGTAAACTTGTCACACCCCTCACATAAGCATAGCAATGTCTGATTGGTGTATTTTTAAACACACAGCTTTATAATAACTTAAAAGTTTTATTTACTTAAATCTCAATCAATTTTTTGCTTTTTTATTTACTATTAATTATTTATATACTATTATTTGTATACCATTAATCATTTACATACCATCAACTATTAATAATACATTAATCTATTTTACATTAATTTGTAGTATTATAACATTATATTATAATATTTCCTTAATTAGTTTTATTATTTACATAAAAAATTAAAAATTATTATATATATTTTTATTATATATATATATATATATATATATATATATATATATATATATATATATATATATATATATATATATATATATATATATATATATATATAAATTTTATAATAAGTATGATTAATTTAGTGGGTTGAAATTATAGAAGATGTAACTAGAGAAAATGATCCTGTGTACTATTTGTTAAAAAATAAAAAGTAAATTATAATCTGTTAATATATATATATATATATATATATATATATATATATATATATATATATATATATATATATATATATATATATATATATATATATATATATTATAATAAATATGATTAATTTAGTGGGTTGACTCTGAAAGTATAGAAGATACAACTAGAGAAAATGATCCTGTGAGATATCATGAAGCTTGGCAATCATTATGCTCCTGCGAGTAATTTTTTTTCAGATTTTTTTTTCATAAGTAAATTTAAAAAAAAATTGTTGTTTAAACTTGCAGTTTTGCACAATTACATTCAATTAATAATTAATTAAGCCTCAAATTCAATCATTTCAAACTAGATAAATAAATTGATGCGCTAAATAAAGTTTGTAAATTCTTTTTCTGTTGCCTTCTTGTTTTGATGTCATTTTCTTTGTACAAAATGCAATTTATAAAGAAGGAGTATTAAGTTTGTAAAAAAAATAGATAGTATATAAAATAAAAAATAGATAGTATATAATAAAATAAAAAGGTACATCATGTTGTTTTTAAATTGATTCTAAATTCAAGCTGACAAAAATTTTTTTTGAAAAATTGAGACATTTTCTGAAACTTAGAAAAAATTCTATAATTCATTTTTAGTGGCGTCCTTGTACCAGGTGGTTTTGGTCAACGAGGATCCGAGGGGAAGATACAAGCTGCTCAATGGGCTAGAACTAGTAAAAAACCATACTTAGGTATCCCATTTTTTATCAACATTTAATTGCAGTTCATTACTAGGTAGAGTTTTTTTTTGTGAAGTTATTTTTTGATTTAAGGAATTTGTCTTGGACTGCAAGTTGCTGTAATTGAGTTTGCTAGAAATGTATTATCATGGAAAGGTAGCATTATTTTATTTTTTAATTTTTTGTATGTTGTGATCTTTTTTATTATTATGTTTTTTTAAAACATTGATTATTCTTTTTTTAGATGCCAACTCAACTGAAATCAATGCATGCACCCAACATCCAGTTGTAAGTTTCAATTTAAACAAAATATATAAACATTCTTGTTTTTAAGTTTCGAGTTATGTTTAATAATTATTCAATGAGTTAAAAAAATTTATCAAAATATAAAAAATGATAAATATTGAAATATAAAAAGAATGTTACATCATATATAGATTATTTACTTATTTTATTTAGTTTACTGTTTTATCGTATAATTTATTATTAAATGTTCTTGTTTTACTTTGTCTAACAACGAACTGTAGAATAGTGAAGTAAACAATAGATTTTTTATTAAAATGTTTTAGCTTGTTTTTAAAATCGCTTATAGATCTCACATTTACAAAATCCTAATCCACTTAATTTGTGAAGAAATTTTTCTTAGAAAATGAGTTTCTTACTATTTCTCTTAATTTCATCATTATTCAAGATCATGGCCTCTTGTTGTAATTGTTTTTTCAGGTTTTTTATGCTCTTTTTTTTATATATATTGTTTTGCAATCAATTGTTCATAGTTGATACTTTTTGTGAAACAAATTTTAGTTTCTCTTTGTTGGACTCTTTCTATAAGACTAATATCTTTAGCATTGTAATGTATTTGAAAATATTTTCTATATTTGAAATGCATATTTTAAATAGTCAACTAGGATCAAGATGATCTTAGTTTACTATAAGCTTTGTTAACAATGACCTCAAAATAATGTTTCTAATTTAAATAATTTGAAATATAGTCTCTTTCCAACAATGATTCTTTGAGTTCTTTTATAGTGATTTCTAATTCTCCAGTATTTCATTTAAGTGTGTATTTGTTTTTCAAGTTATCATAGTGATCGTGATCTGTGTGCATTATCTTGTGTTTATCACTATTAAAGCTTATTAACCATTTACAATTCAAAGAAGTCATTTTAAAGTGAGTTATTATGCAAATTTTTGTTTTTATTTCTGCTTTCACTTTTGTTATTTCAACCCTAAAATCATTAATAAAAATTAGCCAATTAAATGAGAATTAAAAATTAATTTTATGAAATTATTAACATAAATGAATTAGTATTAACATTAGTTATAAATGAATTAGTATTGACATAAAAGAATTTGTATTTAGTTGTATTAGGAGTACTTAGTTATCAGCAAATTTTATTCTCTTCAATACATGATTTTGTTAATATATATCTTATTTTGGGAAATTTCTGTACCGTGGGCCTTCTTGTACCAGGGTCATCATAAAAATTTCTAATTTTTTTTATTCTATTTTGAGTCTCAGAGAGTATGGCAAGTTTTATTCAGAAAATGCTTTTTGATGGCCTAATGTAAATTTTTTCTGTTGGTATCTTTATTGTTTTACAATTCGAGTAGAAATATTGTTCTATTGATACATTAGTATGTTCTATTGTTTGTTACTTAAGTACTTTAGTTAAGCTTGTAACTACTCATTTACATACTCTTTCTTTAAGATTAATTAATAAATCATAGTATATGGTTTCTAGAAGATTTGTAACGCAACTTTTTCAAAGAGATTTTTTTTTTAAGTTAAAATGCAACTGTTTATTATTTTTTAAATGCTAGATAACAGAAATTTTATTTTTTTTAATTGCTAAAAAAAAAAATATAAATATATATATATATACTTTTTAGTTACTAGGCAAAATAGTTGTTTATATTTTTAATTGTTAGGTAATAGAAATGCCTGAACACAATCAAGGTCAACTTGGTGGAACAATGCGTCTTGGAAAAAGAAAAACTATTTTTAAAAAACAAAATTCAATTATAAGTATACTTTTTTGAATAGTATTGAATATTTGTATTATTATACTGTTTCAAATCTAGTCCACTAGATGTGATAAAAACACAATTTTTTGTTGTGTTTATTATTAAGATATTTTTTGTTTGTTTTAACTTATTGAATAAAATAACAAAATCTTTTGACAAATTTTATATATATATACACACACACACAGAGCTATAAATGTGTGTTTAGATAAACAATGTGACATCACACTGAAATAGCATACTTCCAGGGATTTCAGTGAGAGAGATTGGAACAACAAAATACACTTTTGGTTTTTGCTTCATAGCAATTTTTTTAATACCCTTTTTTTTAGATTGATTTAATTCGTAGAATAAATTTATATTTACAAAAATAAATTTATTAATTACCAAATGTAGCAGGTTAAACTTGTGAGACTATTTAGAGCAAAATTAAAAATTTGTATCAAGGTACCCCACCTATGGGGTACCTTTATACAAATTATGAGTATCATTCTTATTTAAAAAATTAAATATTGTTTATGAAACAACGAAGTACTATTTTACAGTTTTAGGTATCAACTTGCTTTTTTGAATAAAGTTTTTATTAATGGAGTAAAGAGCCTATGGATTGTAGTATACAAAATAATGTTACTGATAGACGCATTAAATAACACCTTAAAACTTAGGAACTTTAAAATCTAATAAATTACTTTGTCATCAAAAAAATACAAAATTCAACCCCTTGAAGGCCTAATGATATCAAATGATATAATTTTTTTTTGTCAAAACATAGCTCTAGTAGCAGTTGTTTCACCATATGAAAGTGGTTGTCACAACTCTTAAAATTCCACCACAATTACCATGTTTCATGGTGCCCCACTCTTCCCTACTTACATAGACTGTCTTATAGCTTTTATCACCTTAAAGGAGTGCTGCTATGAAAGAGAGATTTGGATTTTTACAACTATTTGTTTCATGCTATTTGCAGTCAGGTAAATAATAAGGTTTTATTTTTTCATTAAAAATATTTGTATACAAAAGAAACAATATATATATTTTTTTCATTAAGAATATTTATATACAAAAATGTTGCATAACATTATTGTTATGTATGGTTTGCTCTACTTAATTTAATCTTTGTTTTATTTTCAAATCATAAATATAATTTTGATTTAATTCATCAAGCACATATTTGTATATATAGTTACCAATTTAGTTGCACATTAAAATATCACTGATGACTATTGCTATAATAGCTTTCTTTGTGAGCTTCAGATCATATACAGCATCTACATACGAAGATTCCTAATAATTCTACAGAATAAAAAAACAGGCAGTAGAAGATATAAAAGATATATGCACATTTAATTTTTTTTTTTTCTTAAGGAAAATTGTATGGTGATGTGGACTTTATTGAAGAAAGACATCGACATCGATATGAGGTTTAATCATTTTATAATTTATATTATTTTAGTTAATAATATTAGTAAAAATGTAATTTAGTATCTATTATAAATATTATATCTATAAATAAATATTTAAAATTATTTTTAAAAAGTATAAAATAAAATTTTAGCAAAGTTTATTATTTTATTCATTGCTTGGTATGAAAATATTTGATTACTGGCAAAATCATCATTTTAATAAACCTTAATAAAGTAGTAAAAGTTACTTAAATATGATTTCTTTATCTTTGATGTTTGGGTCATTGTAGATAGTGCAGTTATATAAATGAACTACTTTACTGGAATAAAAACTACGATTTTAATAAATAAGAAATTTTTTAATAAAGGTCACATTTATTACATTTAGAATGTTTAAAAATATTTAACATTAAAATATAATTATAGTTTTTATAATTACAATATTATATGTAATATAATATAAAAGTATAACTATATATTCAAGTTTAAAGATTTCATTATATTCAAGTTTAAAGATTTTAAATAAAAGCTAACTTGTTTATAACTTGTATATATATATATATATATATATATATATATATATATATATATATATATATATAAATGTTATATAGATATAAATATATAGATATTTACTATACTCTTTACATATATAAATATATATAAAGGTTATAGTTATAAGACTAAGTTTTTAATATCCATTACTTGCTATTTATTAAATGACAATGAGAAGTTTAGCTACAATTTAAAATTTTAATTGTATAAATAATTAAATATGTTAATAATGGAAGCTTTATCAGAGTTTAAATGTTCAGATATAATGTATAATGTCTGGTAGTTTCATTAACTTAATTAGCATTACAGCTAAGACATATAAGTTTTTATGCAACATAAGATTTTAAGATGCAATATTTTTTTTAAATATATATATATGTATGTATTGAAAATTTAACTTAAGCGGCAGGTTTTTATTTTGTTAGGTTAATCCTTCATTAGCTCATTATTTCGAGGAAAGAGGTTTCATGTTTGTGGGAACTGATATTGACGGTGAAAGAATGGAGATAGCTGAACTAAAAGGTTTTTATTTTTATTTTTTGCTATTAAAGAGTTGTCTTTTTTTTTTTAGTTTTTAATAAAATTTAAATGTTTTAATAGTTGTTTAGATACTTAGATATTTAGTAAAAAATTTCAAAATTCACTGATGTGAGACTTAAATTTTCAAATTTTTTCAAACTTCAATTTTTATTTCAGATCACCCATTTTATGTGGCCGTTCAGTATCACCCTGAGTTTTTATCTCGCCCTATTCATCCGTCACCGCCTTACCTCGGTTTCATATTAGCTGCTTCCGGTAAATTAAATAGCTTTCTTACTCGTGGTGGTCGCTTATCTGCTCGTTCAAGTTTTTTGGAATATGATGCTCTTTTGGATTGTGAAAATTCGCCAAAAGATGATTCTATACTCAAATCAATAAAAACAGATTCTGTAGCTGGTTCTTTTTGTGACAATGATCGTATAAAAAAGATTGAACTCGAAACTTCAACTTTAATAATTAAAGAAAGCGATATTATTTATTAAAATTGCTTTTTAAAATTGTTCTAATTAATAAAACTTTTTTTTTTTGAAGCTTTTATTAGTTTTTATCAAAAGTTACATTAAGACTGATCTTCACTTAAAGAGTTCAATTTATAAAGTTATATGTGGAGTGTTTGTTTTTATTAAAGAGCTGTAAATAGCTAGTCAAGACTAGTCAAAATATATAAAATGAGTTTTTATTATAATTTATTTTCAGAAATATTCTAGTTAAAGTTTTGAATTGAATATTTTAATTTTATCTGGATAAAGGCATGTAAAGATTTTTTCCTTTTTTTTTTTTTGTAAAGTCATTTCTATTAAACGATACTCTTTTTGCAATCAGAGATAAAAGACTATATGAGCTACCTTAATGAACTAGTTTTGTTAAATAAATTAATAGCGTTGGTAACTTTTTTACGAGAACAAACCGATCTTTGAGCTGTTTAATTCTTGATCTTGAAATGGCTGTACTTGTCCTCGAAAGACATATGTTTCATGTTTACCTCGTCCCATAGTTGAAAGAAAATAATTTTTTTCAAAATGAATTACAATTTATCTTTAAAGTACTGAGTATAATGATTTTCTTTTAATATAATACAAGGACTTTGTTTTTTTTAAAAGAAAAAGTAAATGTGTGCTATTTAAAATGACCTCAAAAAGTTAAACGCACTGTTTAAATGTTTAAAACAAGCAATTTTGATAGTTATAAATGTTTAATGAGTAGTTCCGTTCAAAAAAGTAAACATTGTTATTGCTATAATATATATATATATATATATATATATATATATATATATATATATATATATATATATATATACACAGGGTTCGTACTGTACCTGGAAAACCTGGAAAATCAGCCAAATTTGGATAAAGTCATGGAAAACCTGGAAAAGTCAGGGAAATTTTTTTTTTTTCTAGGTAGTCAGGGAATTCTGATTGAGAAACTACTCGTTTTACAAATAAGCTATTATGTTTCTGTTAATGCTTCCCATTTATTTTGACAACTAAAAAATACCCTATAGTGTTTCACACCTTTACCACGCATATAATATTTTATTTTTAAAAATTTAACCACGGCTTTTTAACTTTTTTAAAACTTGAATATTTTTAAATGTATTTTAATAGGCAAAATGCTCTTATTACTAACAATTGTTTTAAAATATTAATCAATAAAAATATTTTATTTAAATTGTCTATGGTTGTTATTTTATTTTTACAATAATAGTGTATGTTTCTTTTTTTTATTTATTATAAAAAAAATAATTCCTTTTTTTTATTTATTATAAAAAAACTAATTTTTTATGATCAATTTCAATCATTTAAAACTATTTCTGTAATTTATTCTATAAACAACAGCATCTTTAACTTTAAACATTTTTGTGTCTTTAAAGCGAAAAACTTCTTTTTTTATTTTAAGTTACATAAGTTACAGAAAGTTTCAAAGATTTTCAACTTTGTTGAAAACTTTTGAAAGTTTTTATTAAAAAAGTAATGGTTTCTATAAGCATTACAATGACTATTAGATTAAAATCCTTGTGAAAATAAATTTTGAAAATTAAAAAAAGGTTTTTAAAGTTAATACAATGAAATTTGTTATAAATATAAATCATTTTGAAATATTTTGTTTCCATTTTTAGAATTAAAATAATGAATAAAATAGAAAAAAAAGCTTATTTTAAAGAAAATGGTTAAATAAAGACATTTACCCTCATTTTGACTCTTGGCTCATGAAAGGAAAAAATAACACCCTGGCAAAATGCAAATTATGCAATAAAATAATTGAACTTTCAAACATGGGTATTTAGCAATAAAAAGTCACGAGAAAGGAAAAAAACATGTTTCAGTTGCAAGCAATTTCTCTTGTTTTTTTAAATCATCTGGCTCTAAAAATACTAATTCACCTAATTCAGTAGAAGAGTCTAATTTAAAGACAACTGATAGTTTCTCAACAGGACATATGAAGCAGCAATCTTTAGAACTCATCGTATCAAGTTCTAATAAAATCTGTGCAGAAATTATGTGGGCATTGCATTGTTGCTTAAATAGAATTTCTAACAATTCAAACAAAAATGTGACAAATTTGTTTCAAGCAATGTTTCCTGACAGTGAGATTGCTAAATCTTTACAAATGGGACCAAATAAAGTTGGATATAGCATCACTCATGGTCTTGGGCCTTATTTTAAAGGTTTACTTAAACAACAAATGAGCCTGTCTCCTTGGCTTGTCGTATCCTTTGATGAATCCCTCAACAAAAAAACTCAAACTTGTCGAATGGATTTACTCATCCGGTATTGGAATGAGGAAAAAATGCAAGTTGAAGTGAGGTATTGGGATTCCTCATTTATGGGACATAGTACTAGTCTTGATTTGGTAAATCATTTTAATGAAAAGATAAATGATATTAATATCAGCAAAATTGTTCAGGTCTCTATGGATGGACCCAGTGTCAACTTGAAATTTCACAGAGACATTCAAAGCAAACGTGAAGAGCACGAATTATCTAAACTTATTGACATAGGCTGCTGTTCCCTACACATAATTCATGGTGCTTTCAAAACAGGAGTAGAATCAACTGATTGGGAACTTAAAAAGACATTTAAAAGCTGCTTTACCTTATTTCATGATTCTCCTGCCAGAAGAAGTGACTTTATCAGTATCACTGAAGGTTCTGTGTTCCCGCTTTCATTTTGCGCAACCAGATGGGTTGAAGACAAAAAGGTAGCGGATAGATTAATTAGTATTTGGCCATCTATTATAAAAATTGTTAATTATTAGGAGTCTCTGCCTAAAAGTAAACGACCATCTTGCAAATCATATAAGTTTGTTGTAAATGCTGTTAAAAAAGAACTTTCTCTTGTAAAATTCCAGTTTTTTAGCTACCTGGCAAGCATGTTTGAACCGTTTCTGAAGCTCTATCAGACAGATGCTCCAATGTTGCCTCACATGAATGGTGATCTTGTGCAGTTGATTAAGAGTATTCTTAGGATGTTTATTAAATCTGAAACTATTGAGGCTACCTCAAAACTTACCAAAATTGATCTGCAAAATAAAGAGAACCATTTGAAACCCAGTGAAATTGATATTGGGTTTGCTGCTGAATTATCACTGTCAAAGCTCAGAAAAAATGATGCAGTTATTTTGAAGGATATGAAAGAATTTAAAATTCAATGCATGCACATTTTAATTTCAGCTGCTGAAAAGTTATTTAAAAGATGTCCCCTTAATTCTGTGATTGTTAACACGAGTACTTGTTTGCTTCCAAATTTTTATGCTCAGATCACACCTGAAAAAAATAGGAATCAAATGAAAATATTGCTGCATCATCTTATTTCACTTGGAATATTAACTGCTTCTTATTCTGACAAAGTTATCAGCCAGTTCTCAAAGTTTATTTCATCAGAATTTGCTCTGAATCAGGATGTTTTCATTAGTTATGATCGAAATAATAAACGTCTTGATGATTTTTACTTCAAAAACATTGACATAAAAAAGTATCCAGAGTTGTCATCTGTCATTAAGTTGGTTTTGACTCTGAGTCATGGACAGGCATCAGTTGAACGGGGGTTTAGTGTCAATAAGGATGTGGTTACCGATAATATATCAACAGATGGTATTGTTGGACGGCGTCTTGTGCGTGATTTCATGCTTACCAACAACCTCAACCCCCCACTCTGTCCAGATTACATCAGAAATGAAAGTTGCCTTTAAATCTGCCCGTCAAAAATACCAGATCATGCTTGAGGAAAAGAAGTCAAAGAATAAAAAACATGCTATGTTAGATCAGAAAGCCATTATTTTGTCTGAAATTGAAGAGCTAAAATCTAAAATGGGTTTCCTTACAAAAACTTCATTGATGCTAGAAAAAGAGTTTGTCTTAACTGTGGAACAAGCGGAAAAAGAAAATTGGTCAGCAAAGCGAATGCTTTAAAAAGGAAAAGCGAGGAGAAAATGAAAGACGTAGCTAAGTTGCAGGAAACATTATTGATATTAGAAGAGAAGAGAAAGAAACTGAATTAACAATAGTTGCTTTTTGACAATTTGTTTGTTTATATAAAATATTATTTATGTTGACATTTATGCAAATATGGCTAATTAAAAAACTTTAATTATATTTTCAAAATAAGATTTTGCTTAAAAAATATATGCAATTTAAAATTAATTAAAAGTTTTTTTTTTAATGTTTCTAAGCATGTTTGGTTATACTGTGCTATTTTTATCTAAAAGTATTATTGAATTAGCGAAGGTACAGCTACAAATAGTGATAAAAAACAACTAACCCAAAGTAGTCTCTGTTATAGACCAAATATTGCTCAAAATGTTGAAAGATATCTACATAGACATTTTAGTTTATTTTAGTGAAAAATAATTATATATAAAATACTTTATGTGCATAATATTTAGATTTTCTTGAAGATCATCTGAAACTAAATTTTATGTGCATAATATTTAGATTTTTTAAGAAGCTCACCTGTTGTTTATTCTTAGTCATCCTTAATAATATGCATAATAAAATCTATACTAACATCCAACTTAACTAATAGCTAAGTTTTATAAGTTTTGTCATTTTAAGCATGTACATTTTAGCATTTTCATTACAGTAGTAATTTTTAACATTTTATAAAAACCATTGCAAATGTTAAAAATGGTCAGGGAAATTCATCTGATTTTTCAAAAAAGTCAGGGAAAAGTCAGGGAAAAGTCAGGGAAATTTTTATAAATATGTGGCTACGAACCCTGTATATATATATATATCAAGGACTACTATATGGAAGGACGCGCAAAGTCGATTTCCTGACTCCGCTAGCGAAGGTCATTTATTTTTATCAAAGTTAAAGTGTTCTTTAACGTTCCTGTAACATTTTTTTTAAATTTTAACCTTAATCATGGTGAACAAATGTGGCGTTGTAAATTGTAAAGGGAATTATAATAAACTTAATAAGTGTTTTTAAATTACCGAAAGATGAAATTGAGAAACAGAAATGGATAAATGTTCTTCCTTTACGTAAAAATTTTATTATTGAGTCATCTAAATTTTTTGTATGTGAAAAAACATTGGCCTGAAAATACAGAAATGATTAAGCTGTCTGGTGGCTATACTCGACCAGCATGTGGACCTTGTATTTTTAATGTTCCTTTTTCTTGTTTACCAACGCCAAAGCCTGTGCCTCGCTATTTCATCAAAAAAGATAAAATAAATTCATTTTCTAATTTTTATCCTGACAATGAGTTGCACAAAAAGTATAAAAATATAGTAATATCTCGACAAGACGATAAATTCATATGCATTTTTATGTCAAAAGATTTCAAAGAGAGTTTTGTGACGATTATTGTTTATGATAAGAGTAAGAACACAAGGGTGTTCACCGCTAACCTTTTCAGCTTTTAAACATGGAATTTCCGTTCCATTAGCTAATATATTGAATCCAAACAATGGCTTAATCTTCTATTCACAATTTTTTGAAGCAATCAATTTAGTTCATAATTATAATCTGCATGTTGATGATGTTATTGAAAAGATGACAAATACTTTTTCAATACATGAATTTGAATTAGATGATAATAAGAAACAAAAAAAGTTGAATTTTATTACAAGACAACTCAAACTCTTGTCTAAAAAAAGTTTCTCTATAGCTGATTATTGTTTTGCAATCGAGCCTTTTTATAACTGCAACTACGATCAACTTCGTGACTTTTTAGTCCTTCCAAGTAAACGAAAGCATCAGTCTATAATTTCTGCCACTAACATTGACCATGTTTTACAAAAAACATTTGAAAACGTAAAGAATAATCAACAGAAAAATGTTATTTTGATAGTGGACGAGGTAAAAATTAGGCCAACAGTTGCTTATTCGTGTGGAGTTTTAAATGGGATGGCAAGAAATGATCCAGAATCTAAAGCAACCTCTATGCTATGTGTCATGATGAAATGCTTACACGGTGGACCTAGTTTAATGATTTCTGTTACCCCTGTTCACAAACTAACATCATTGTATCAGTTCATTGTTGTAAAAGAAGCTGCTATTATAGTTGAAAAACATGGTGCAATAGTTTTAGGATCTGTAACTGATAATCATAAAATCAATCAGCAATATAGCAAAATTTTTAACAGAATAACTGACTATCAGGCCATTCATCCATTAGACAATCAGCGTGTTTGGTTTCTTTTATTTGACACAGTTCATCTATTTAAATGTATTCGCATTAACTGGATTTCTGAAAAGTGTCAAAAGCTATCTCTCGATAATAAAACCATAGCTTCATTTTCAGATGTGAAAAGTCTATATCAATACGAGAAAGAGAACATTTTAAAAACAGTTCCTTTATCCTATGCTGCTGTCTATCCTTCGAGAATTCAACTACAGAATGTGCAGCATGTTTTAAGAGTGTTTAATTAGAAAGTAGTAGCTTCCCTTAAACTAAAAGGAGCTTATGAAACATCCTCTTTTATCCAGCAGATTTTAGATTGGTGGAATATTGTTAATGTTTCTGCAAAAGGGCAGAATGTTAGGTTGAGAGATCACAACCGATCTGTGCAAGATAAAAATTCAAATAATCTTCAATTGTTTTTAGAAATATTTAAATGTATGGAATCAGGACATGGGCCTAAACGAGTTCAGTGCGTTACCCATGATACCAAAAAAGCCCTTGTGCAAACTACTGAAGGATTGATAGCTCTCTGCAAACATTTGTTTTCAGTTGGTTTTGATTATGTTTTGCTTCGTGAGCTACAAAGTGATAGAATAGAAGGAGAATTTTCTGTTTATAGACAATCAACAGGGGCAAATGCTTTTATGGCAGCTGGTGATGTTTTCTCTGCTTTTAAAAAGCGTGTAGCTAGATTTGCTGCATCATTTTTAGAATCAGTGGAAGTAGGACAACCCAATAAAAAAGGTCACATATGTGAGAGTCCAATTAGTATTGAAGATGCAACCTCAATTGAAACATGCATTTAGGATGTGAGTCTTTCTGAAACTGAAGAGAGCTCTGCTGCCTATGTAGCAGGATGGCTTGAGAAAAAATGTGAAGATGAACTAGTTTATCCAGATGATGAACCTGAACTAACAAATGAAGCTAAAGACTTTATTGAAGAAGTTTCAAGGGGCTATTTGACAGTTCCACATGAGTGTACTTATCAGCTAGTTAGAATTGGTTGATGCTTTGTGAAAAAAACAAAGCACAGAGCATGTTGTAGAAAAAGACTTATAAACATTCTATCTATAATGGACACATATTATATAATGGACACATATTTTGGTTTATCATCAAAGAGTCTTTTTAGGCGTTTGGCAAATGTTCTTCTGCATGGAATTCAGAATTTGGATAAAGACCAAGCAAAAAATGCATGCAAAAATGCAATGCAAAAAATGCTTTATCAGACATCAATTAAGAAGGCACGCCTTGCTGAGTAGTGAATCTTTCTTTTTAGATTTTTTACTTGAAAAGTATTGTATTGTTTATTTCTTTATAAAGTTATATTAAGTTCATTATGTTTAAAAAAAAAAAAAGTTTTAACATTGTTTAAAAGTCTCTAGAGAATATGATGTTTATATGTTTATTTCTTTATAAATAAATTGTGTCAATAATATGTTCTTTGTTTTTTTGTAGAGGTTTTTTATATCGATCTTTTAAGCTTTTTAAAATAAGTTTTGATTTTGTTATTAACAATAACGTAAAATTATTTTAATCGTATTTCAGAATTTTGATTTTATGAAACGTTGTTTAAGCCAATTTTAGTTATTTAGGAGTTAAGTGAGAAATATTGACAGGCCTTCGCTAGCGGAGTCAGGAAATCGACTTTGCGCGTCCTTCCGTACAGTAGTCCTTGATATATATATATATATATATATATATATATATATATATATATATATATATATTAGGGTAGGCCAAAAACAAAACAATTTGAAAATTTAACATGTCTGCAAAAAAACGTGATCCTTTTCACATATGAATACAAACTATAAAAAAAAATTGGAAAAAAACATCATTGAGTGCTGCCGAATTTGATTTGACTATTTTCATTTTTAGTCTAAAATATGTCAAAATTAGGATTTTTTAGGAAAGTGAAAAAAGATTAGAATTTTTATATCTATAGGAAATATTTGTTATTTGAGGCTGTTCATTTAATAGACAACTTGTTTTTGACCTTTTTTGAACTTCCCCCATGTATCATTTTGTATTACTTGTTTATTAACTCCTCCCCCGCCCCCTCTTATATGCGCAGTGCTACTATTGTTAAAAAAGATATATCTCTAAGTAATTTTTTGCTAAAAGTTTACTAATTCTGCTATTAAAAGAATTGTAATTCGCGTCACATTGTAGCTAACTACCCTCTCCATGTGATATTTGGTGACACTTTCAATACCCCTCCCCCATATGGGAGGGGTTTACCATTATACAAGTAATAACTGCTTTTATAACTCCTTTTTAAATGATAGATTGCTTGAATTACAGAAGAGTTGATTAATTTGGAAAAAAATTATTTGGGGCTATTCTAATAATACGTGACAGTCTTATGACCAGGCTAATGAAAAACAGAAAAGATAATAAAAAAGCGGTTATTATTTATACTCAGCTAAATCAACGAATAATTGCTTCTTATTACAATTGTCTACAACTTTTCTGTGATTTTCAACCACGTTAAAAACTTCGTTTCGTACAGCCTCGTCCTTAAGATAAGAAATTTTATTTTAATCTGTTCTAATAGTAAATTTTTATGATTATGTAGATTTTTTAATTGCCTTCTCATTTTACGGCTTACCTTTGTAAGTATTTGGAGATAATCGGAACACAACTTAATTCCTCTCTCAGCCGCGTCATTAGTCACTTTTAGAGTTTTGATAAACAGCTTCATTTTCAAATAATAAGCATTGTCGTCCCATTCTAAAGAAGGAATTTTAAGCCATTTTCCATCATCTTTTAAATTAAGAAAAATTAACCAAGACTTTTTCCCAATATAAGAAATAATATCGGATATAATAATATATGTATATATATATATATATATATATATATATATATATATATATATATATATATATATATATATATATATATATATATATATATATATATATATATATATATATATATATATATATATATATATATATATATATTATATATATATGTATATATATTTAAACAATTTTAAAAATGTATTCTACAAAATAGAGTGCTCAATGTTCTTAAAAGAACAGAGCAATTATAAATTAGTAGAAAATCACTTAATAATTTTTTTTTTATTTTACACTGAGTTTCATCAACAAAGACTCATCAGAAAATCATTTCTGATGAGTCTTTGTTGATGAAACACAGTGTAAAATGAAAAAAAAAAATTTTTAAGTGATTTTTTACTAATTTATATATATATATATATATATATATATATATATATATATATATATATATATATATATATATATATATATATATATATATATATATATATATATATATATATATAAAGAGAGAGAGAGAGAGAAACTATACATATTGTCTAGCTTATGTCTAAGTTATTAAAAAAAAAATTTTTTAATATAACTAACTTTAAAAAATCATAAACGCTTCAGTAGCCGTTTCGCAAATCGCTATTTATTAGCGGTTCGTACCAACCTAATTAATATTTAGAATATCCACTTGAAATGTGTTGATTAATAACAATCGGTATAAAATATGTGAAAATAGACTTAAAATATATTTGAAAATAGACTTATATTATAAATATAAAAATAACAAGTATTATTTTACCAAAAAGCCGACAAAAAATTTTTTTGAAGCAACTTGTTCTGGTCTCCAGTAACTTCCGCCTTTTAATTGGCATCCGCAGGCAGATTTCTTTTTTAGATGAAAAATGCTTTGTAGACCTAGCTTTTGGAGAAGTTTTAAAGGGCCTTCATAATCAATCATATACCCAGGACCACTAGAAGCGTGCTCTGGCCTCTAAAAATCAAAAGTAAAAATTAATTAAATCTTTTAAAATTCAAAAATTATTTAAACTTTTTAAAAGTTAAAATTAGGAAAAGTGTACAAAAAATCTTAAACACTGTTTCATAATAGAGCATTGTGAGCCTTCCGATTCGCAAAAAAAATTTGATAACTTCTTCAAAATTAACTGGAGCGAATGACGTAAAACGGTACTATAGTCATAGAATGTTTTAAACACTTAAAAGTGTTCAAACGCTTAAAAAATTTTAAAGTTTATGAAGCATCTATTCACTAAAAGTGAATTTAATGAGTACCATGCTTGCTGATGACGTTAATTTATCCTTTTCTGATAAAGACATATACAAATTCTTTTACACTATGAATGATGAATCTAAAAGTATATCCAAACATACTCAAAATTATCATTTGATGAATTCGAAATTGCTTTCAAACCACAAAAAAAAAAAAAAAAAAAAAATTGGAGCCGATGGAATTAATAGTGACATAGTTATCGAGAGTTTTAATCATCTTAAAGATATTCTTTTAAAGTTTATAAATTATCTGTCTACCAGGGAATTTTTCTGAACAACTGAAAATTGTAAATGTTATTCCAATTTTGAAAGAAGAGGACTATTACAATATCAGTAATATTGTCCTATATCTATACTTTCTACTTTTTCAAAAATCTTAGATTATTAATCTCGTATTATGTACACAATTATGTTGTCTCCGATAATATTTATATAATAATCAATTCGATTAAAAAAAAAAAATTCCACAGAACATGCAACCATCCAATGAACATGCAACCATCGAATGAACATGCAACCATCCAATGAACATGCAACCATCGAATGAACATGCAACCATCCAATGAACATGCAACCATCAAATGAACATGCAACCATCGAATTTGTACGAAAAATTCTTTTCAAAGATCCCAATTTACGTTAGCAGTTTTTTATTGAGTTGTCGAAAGCTTTTGATACTGCTGGTCATGAAATCTTGTTCAAAAACTGAAATACTGCGAAATAAACTATATAACTATAAAATGGCGTCAAAGTTACTTATAAAACCGCAAACAATTTGTTTTTAATACTGATAACCAAAGGCATCTTCTAAATATTTCCTGTGGCGTTCCTCAAGGTTCTATCTCGGGGCCACTTTCGTTCTTAATATATAAAATGACTTATATAAAGCTTCAAACTTGATGAGTATGAGGTTTGTCACGAAACCTTTTTTACACTATGAATGATGAACTTAAAAGTCTGAAAAAAATTTATTCTGACATACCCAAACTCTTTTCTACAATGAGTGAAGAACTTAAAAACATATCTAGGGGAGAGTTGCTGAATTTGGTACAGCGCCTTAATTGGAACACTTGCATTTATTTTTGAAAAAAAAAAAAATTATGGCAATATTTTGCATTGTTTTAGTAAGGCGCATTATTTTCTACGCTTTGACACATTTTGAAAGTTATTCCTCAAAAAATGCGTTTGCACCATTTTTTTTCAGCAATCTAATTTTGTGTTCACACTATATTGATTGCGCTGGGTAAACTATGGGGCTACAGGTTATACCGTTTTTGGTGTTCAATTCGATGGGATTTAAAATGCAAAATAACAAAGTAAACTTATCTTATAAGTTTCTGCAAGCATATTATTGTAGTAATATAACAAAATAGTCGAATGTTTCCTTGATTGGAACATTAAAGTTTTCCTTACCTAATCAGTAATAAAATCAAAGGATTGTAAAAGTTTTTCGAGTGCAATTAAAAAAATACTTAGTAACAACCATAAACCTTAAAAATAATACTTTATTTAGTGATTTTTAATCAATAAATTTAAAGATATACAATAAGTTTAGAGATATAAGTCATAACAGTTGAAGATTTATACAAATTTTTGTTTGTAGACTTTAAGTTTATCAGGTCCTATAATAAGTTTTGAATTAACTGTTTAAATTTTACTGTTAAGATGAAAATCATTTTTTACAAATTTTTGTTGATTTTACTGGATTTTTTCTTTAAAAAAAATAACCTGTTCTGATGAAGGAATCAAAGTGTTCTAATTTAGGGAACCAGTTGCCTTGATTGGAACAAAATGGTAACTTTGGTAATTTCAATTAATTTAAATTGTGGTAAAAAAGTATAACAGGGATGTCTGATTGTATTAATCAAATCATAAGTGTTTTCATAGTTAAGCCATCTTTGGTTAATAAATATTTAATCCTAAATTGTTGCAATTAAGGCAACTCTCCCCTACTTGGCTCAAATGTAACAAATTAACTCTTAAATTAATATAAAACCAAAAGGATTCTTTTCCATTTGCTCTCTAAAAAGCGCAATTAACCCCCTGAATTTGCCCAAGATATTTATTGATGAAGTTGAAACAAAAAGAGATTTTGATTTTTTAGAAGTGATTCTTAACAAGAGCATTACATGGAAACCATATGTTATATATAATACTTATACATAATGCTTGCTCGAAAATATCTAAAAGTAACAGAGTATTATATAAATCCAGATTATATTGAAACAAAAAAGTCTTAACCCAACTTTATTACTTTATTTTTTTATTATTTCTTTTTATTTTTTAGGTGCCCCGAGAAGTTCTTACGGTCTTATCACAGAGCACCATGGATGAGCATTTAATCGGAAGTTCACGCCTCCTTCCTAACCGATGTTGCAAAACTTGCCCGGAGGTTTGAACCACGGATCCTTTGTTTCTGAGGCAAGTGCGCTACCGCTGCGCCACGGCTGCAACTTTGTTATTCTTTATTCATACCTATATAATTTATGCCAACAAAGTTTGCCTTTATCACCATCAGAAGCATGCGATCCATTTGATTAATTTTACGGATCGTTTTACTCATTCCAAACCATTTTTTATGGAGATAAAAATACTTAATATTTACGAGCTCAATCTTTATAACGTTTATAAATAAATATATACTTAGAAATAAAATTTTTGTTTATGAACCAATTTGCAGAACAAAGTTTAACAAGTTTTGCATTACATTTCGAGCACCTAATTTTGATATATTCAACATTTTTCCAGTTTTTAAAAATAAACATTTTTCCAGTTTTTAAAAATAAATTTTATTATATGATGATATATTTAAATACTTTGTATAATAACCACGTATTTGTCTTTTTAATTGTAAGACTGTTGTATTTTCTCTTTCCTATCATAAAGATATGTCTTACTTTACTTACTTTGTATATATATTTATATATGGCATTTATATATTTATGCTTTTATAATTTCTGACAATAAGATCCAACTTTTTTTAATTTATATAACAATAGAGATTTTTAATTTATTACACAATTTATTGTAATTTTTTATTCTTGTTTATGTCATCATGTAAAAAGTTTTAAACTTGTAAAAGGTTTTGATTATAAGATCATTATGATCTTCTTTCAGAAGATTTATCTGTTTTTGTAAAGGATGACAAATGTAAACAAGCAGAAAAAGAAAAAAGAAAAAAAAACTCATTCAAACCATTTTTTGATGAAATGAAAGTCCTCAATATAAATGAGTTTTATGTTTTTAATGTTTTATGCTATATGTATATGTGGAAAAAATGACACATCTATACCCATTTCTAAAGATCTCTTTTGTTTGAAACCAATAAATGAATATACACATAGAAATAATAATTTTTTATATGAATCCTATTGTTGAACCAAGTTTATTCAGTTTTGTATTACATATCGAACACTATATCTTTGGAATAAAATATTTTGTCCATTTTTAATATGTCGAATACTTTTAATTGTCCACTTGATATGTCTAATATTTTTACTTGTCCATTTGATATGTCTAATATTTTTCCCATTTTCAAATATAAACTGAAAAATATAATCCTTTCAATGAATGATTTATTCCGGTATTTTTAACTTTATATTTTGTTTAGAACGTTTATTGTAAAACGCTTAATTTTATTGGTAATGTATTGATGTGGTTTACACACGCATGTAAAAGGTTCTAATAATATGATCAGTACGGTCTTCTTTCAGAAACCTTCTGTGTGTTTATGAAAGTTTATTTTCTACGACAACAATTGCATTCTAAAAAAAAAAACGTTGAGAAAAATTATCGTCAAAAATTTGTTGTTTTTATTGTTCACTTTTTTAAAAGTTTTATTTTCTTATTTTTTTTTATTATTTTTATTATTTTTTTTTTTTAAATGCAATTGTTGTAGAAAATAAATTACTTTCATAAACACACAGAAGGTTTCTGAAAGAAGACCGTACTGATAATATTATTAGAACCTTTTACATGCGTGTGTAAACCACATCAATACATTACCAATAAAATTAAGCGTTTTACAATTAACGTTCTAAACAAAATATAAATTTAAAAATACCGGAATAAATCGTTCATTGAAAGGATTATATTTTTCAGTTTATATTTGAAAAGTTCTAACCCTCTCATTTATAAAGAATCCCCCATTTACTTGGCAAGTGAGATTATTAATCTATGGTAATATTCGGAACTGAATAGCTTAGACCATGACCAGAAATAGTTTAGTACGGCCTTGGTGTACTAAACTATTTCTGTCATAAACTGACAATTTAAGTATTTACTTAACACTTTTTTTTAAAAAACGACTTTGTCGTCTGAAATGACGCATGGAAATGAAATTTCCAATCTTAACATTCGTTCCGATATATAACTACAAATTTATTCAATAGTTTTGTTTTTCGATTTTTTTTTAATTTTTTTAAATTTCATTTGCACTTATTCAATAAACAGCCACTCTGTCAAAGTTATAATTTTAATTCAAAAGTTTGGCTATAAATCATATAAAACAAAATTTTGATGTCAAATTTTTAACTTTTATTCCTAATTAATATTTAAATTCAGGTTTGCTATCTGTTTTTTGGGGGGAAAAAATCCCCCCAAAAAAAATCCCCCCGAAATAATCCCCAGAGAAAAAATCCCCCCGGAAAAAATCCTCCCAGAAAAAATCCCCCCGGCAAAAAATCCCCCCGAGAAAAAATCCCCCCCCCCCGAAATAATCCCCCGAGAAAAAATCCCCCCGGAAATAATTCCTATTCCTCGAAGGTAGCGAATGTGAAACCCTAACCCTAACACTGACGAACTGCGAACTGGTAAAATGTGAACTTTTTTGCGAACCATCGTAGTTAGTTTAGCGGTATATTTTAAGGACTTTTATGCGAAAAAAATATTAAAAAAAAAATAAAAGGAAATTAAGTGAAACTAGACGAAAACAATATGAAAAATATATATATATTTTTTAATTATTTGATAGACTGCCTGCCCAACCCAAACCCTCAGTCGATGTAGCAGCACTCCGTTGCGAGTCAGGCTATTTGTCAGTCGATGTAGCAGCACTCCGTTGCGAGTCAGGCTATAAGATAGTCGATGTAGCAATACTCCGCGCATGTTTTACAGTTAAAAAAATAAAAAATTTATTTTAAATAGAGCTTTAAAATAGAATATGAATTTTTTATTATTATTATTTTTTACCGAAAACCGAGAAATAGCGCATAACTTTACATTTTGATGAAAAATGAAGTATTTTATAAAACTATTTAAGATAAATAAATATAATTATTTTATTGATAATTTTTATGTAAAAAAAAATTTTCTTTTTTGGAGGGGATATTTCCCGGGGGATATTTTCCGGGGGGATTTTTTCTCGGGGGATTATTTCGGGGGGATTTTTTCCGGGGGATTTTTTCCCAGGGAATTTTTTCCTGCTACCCTGTCAAATCAGTCTGAGACATATTTTCTGTCAACATAAATTATGTACCACATATTTTCTACCGACGTTTTTTGACATAATTTTATGTTTAAATTATTTTCTGCTTACATAAAATATGTATGACATATTTTCTATCGACATATTTTAAAATACTTTTATTTCGGACATATTTTATGTTATATATTATGTTATATATTAAAATCAAACTAACAATTTAGTAAAACATTTCAGAATAACTTGATGAATAAAATAAAAAATGTTAACAAGTTAGTTTGACTTGTTCTTCAAGAAGACTTGTTCTTCTATAAAGCAGCATATAATTCAGATACAAAATTATGTCAAAATATGTTTACCGGAAACATGTTAGAAATATTTTATGTCATCAGAAAACAATTCAGGCATAAAATTATATAAAAAATAAGTTAATAGAAAATATGTTTGACATATTTTATGTCAGCAGAACATAATTCAGACATAAAATTATGTCAAAATACGTCGATAGAAAGTATGTGGGACATTTTGTCAGCAGAATATGTCTTAAAATATGTCGACAGATCTGCCAGACATATTATGTTGTGAGAACCGTGTTTAAATTGCTCGTTAGCTTAAAAACAAAAATGAAAATATTTTTAATTACTTTCGCCGATGTGAGGCAAATATTTCCGCTTTTAATTGTTGACAGATTTAGTTAATCATTATTTCTTTTTAATTCAAGGAAAATAATTTTCAATCGAAACTTGGCACTATAAACAACGCATTATTTTTCATTTTGTTTTAATTTAAACTTACTTCACTATTTATATTTCACACTCAAGTACTTCAAGTAAAAAGAGCTTGTAAGACATTTCTAATATTGTTGTTAACTTATTCAATTTAGTTTTTGTGATAAACATTAGTTAACAAAAAAGTTTTTATAGTTAACTAATAATCTTTTTAACTCGTTGAAATTTTCATTTAATGTAACCTTGTTTTTAAACTACTGAAACGTTCTCAAATAGCGTGCAACTGTAACTTAATATAATAGTGATTTAGTGCAGTCCACAGCTACTGAGATTTATAGATTCAGTTGTTGCTCTAACCTATTTTAATTGCATGTTACCTTAAATTGCAAATTACGGTGATTACGTAATTACGATGGTCTGTTTATGTACCACGTTATTATTCTTGTACATACCATATGAAAACCTGTTAAGGAGTTGGATTTGATTTAGAAAATACAGTTTATATATGATAACGATGCATTAGTAAAAACTAAATAATAATATGAAATGTGGTCAAACTAACCACACGATAAACAACAACAATTTTTACTATATTAGCAAACTCCTTTCACTCTTGTTTCCAATTCAAAACTCAAGCTGTTTAATTTTAACTGCCTTTAAGCTGAATATTTAAAACCACGTAAGAGGTTAACTGTCGTTCAGCTGGGTATTTAAAACTATGTAAGAGGTTAACTCGGTATTTAAAAACATAGAAACGTCAAACAATTTACTATTTGTTAAATTTTCAAATGTACAATAAACCAAATATACAACCTAATAGATAAATATTCAACCGTACAAACTAAAGTAAAAAAGTTTTACGTCTCTACTGACCAGACAATTTAAATTAAAAATTAAAATATAGAAAAACTCGTTCTAAACGTTTTTTCGTTTGTGCAAATCTTAACGAAGCGAATTTTGCAACTGATTGCCAAGTGAACCTCAAAATTAAAATATTTTCATATTTACATTAAAATCAAGATACCAAAAGTCTGGATGTCAAAAGGTATGAAAAATGAGTATAAAATATTAAAATCATGTTACTGTGCTTTAACTATGAAGTTTTTTCAAAGCTAAAATATCAGATAATAAAATTATATTTTTAAACTTTTATCAGCTTGATATGTTTTACTGATCCTGGCAATTTTCGCATATTAATTTGATAACACCGTTTTCTTGAGCAAATGATTGTCTGTATAATATTTCATTACATGTCACGCATCGGAAACAATTTTTGTGCCAGTTATCTGCATCTACAGTGTAAAACTCCCCGTTTATAATATAATCGCCACAAGCTGTGCATTTTTTAGCAAATAGAGATTTATAACAAGGAGTGCAGAACCTCTTTCCATCTTTTTGCTGAAACGGTTGACTAGAAATAGGATCTGAACAGTTATCACATATAAAACAATCTCGATGATAAAAATTTCCACCGCAAGCAACGCCACCCTCTCGTAATACTTCAGTGCACTTTCCACAACGCTTAGCGAAGTAAAGATCAAAACAAGGACAACACACTTGCTTTCCTTCATGATGAATAAATCTTTTTGAAGTAATAGGCTTCTTGCAACTATCGCATACAAAACAATTCTCATGCCAAAAATCCCCTTTTAACTCCAATCTAGATGAATAAATATAAAAGGCTATATATCAATTAAACTTTTGATAGATTTGATAGATTCTGAAGAGAAAATTTGATGTGGTCCTAATGTGTCATTTAATGATAGCCACATTTGATTAATGGAATGGCCTTAATTGGCCATGTGTGGCCATGCTATTTATACCATTTAGGTAGTAGCCACATAAGGTCCATATGCGGCTATAATATTTTTACCATCTAAGTATATTAAAAACAACTGTTATACAACCTACATCCATGTCATCCCATAAAAAGAGTGTGGCTATCACATGTGATGTGCATCAAATTTTCTTGTCAGGATATGGTTTTAAACATTAGTTAAATGTGGTTTTGAACATTTATTAAATGTGGATTTTAATATTTGTTAGATGAAATATTTAAACATTTGTTAGAAGTGGTTTTAAATATTTAGTTTTTAAACATTTTAATTATTTATCAAGGTTTTTAGCTAAATTGTTTTATTATAAGTATTTGACTAAAATAAACATTTTAACTTAATACCTTGAGGTCAATTTGATCCTAGTTATTTAGAGACAAGTTCCATCATGCACTCGAAACCTTTTTGTTATTTTTATTTAATTTATTAGGCATTTTTTTTAACTTTAAAGTACAAACCTTTTAACACCAGGTTCAAAACCTTTCATGCATCTTTTACACCGCTTGTCATCTGTTTTTTGGTAACATTCTGAGCAAAGAAAATTGTCATCCTTTACGACAAAACTTGTGCCACTTAACTTACAATGACAATGAGTACAAACTAAACATGCATCATGCCAATGTTCATCATCATATATAACATCTTCTTCATCCACTCCTAAAAAAGGCAAACTTGAAGCAATAAAATTTACTTCATTTCGAATATTTCTTTAAAAAATGTTTTACATACCTAATATCTTGCCACACATATCAGGGCTTGAAATAACGCAAAAAAATCTAACCGCGAAATTTTTTTTTTTTGATCTTCCCCCCTCATTCATGGCGCCACTTTAGGGTCATGAGGGGGGAGGGGAAGGTTGCGCTAGTATTAGGGATGTACCGGAATTCAGGCCGGATTTTGTGACTGTTAGGTCATTTCGGTTCTGAGCAGAATTATAATATTTTAGGCAGGAATGCCGAAATTAATTTTTTTACTTTAATCGTCCTAGAGGGCAATAAAGAACTATGGGTAAACCTAGGTAAAAAATACAAAATTCTTAACAAATAGAATGTAATTTTAGATAAAGCTACAGTTTAGTGTTCTAAAATAATTTTATTTTTTTGCTTGTTGCACTCTCGTTAGTGGAGAGTTTTTAAACATTTAGGAATATTGTGGTGCAAAAAGATTTGCTATCCAGTTTTGGCCAAAAAACAAGCTCTTTTTTTACATCAAAAATGTAAAAAAAGCCTCTGACAATAGTCTCATTTTTAATGTTTCTTAACTTTTAAATAGTTAAAAAGTATAGGATGCCTAATACAGTAAATATTTTATATGTATGTATGTATGTATGTATGTATGTATGTATGTATGTATGTATGTATGCATGTATGTATGTATGCATATTATAGGTTATAAATATATATTATTTAGCCACAATGCTGAGGCGCAGGCTGTCACTTTTAATCTTGAAGGTAAAAAACTACATAAATGTAAATTTCGTTCCGGCCAGAATTTTTTCAATAACTCTGGCAAATCCGGTTCCAGCAGGAATTCAAAATAAAGTTGGATCTGTTGCACACTAGTTCGTAATTGTTATTATTTTAACATATTATCTCTCATCACTTTATATTATTGCTTAACTTAACGCTGCTGCTGCCCATTCGTGTGCATTTACACGGACTTTTTTACCATACTTGGCTGAGTCTTTACCATACTTGGCTTTTCAGTTTTATTATAAATAGGATTTAGCATACTCTTTATCTTTTTACTTTTGAACTCACTAAGACTTCGTTGAAATTAAAGAAATCAGGCTAGACAAAGTGAATTTAGCCGTCACCAAAATGAAAGAGATAAGCTTAGGCTAGCTTAGGTATATTGTTGTTGAAATGAAAGAGATGAGCCTAGGAGAGCTGAAATAAACTGCTGTAGAAATAAAAGATATCAGGTGTTATAATTCCTTTTTATCTTTTGCTTCTTTTACAGCCAAAATACCTCATCACTCAAATAATTGCCCTTTCTGTTTTATGGTTTATGGGCAATTTTTGCATTGTGTTGGAAATTTAAGGTCTGAAGAAGGTTACCCATGGATTGTCAGTTAAATATATATAATTCTAATGTAGCAGTCTCATTTGTAGCAACCTTGTAATAATGGTTGTATAAATGAGTTAATGCAACCTTTACAAACTTTAAATAATCAAGAAAACCCATTTGCTTCTGCATTTAAAAACATGGTAAAAGTAGAGGAGAAAAATGATGATGACAATTAACTGGAGCATTGTGTTACTTTGTCACAGTATTATAGTTATAGGTTTGCTGCTAGACAAACTTTTAGTCCTAAATACAAACTAATTAGTCCTATATAATTATTGTTTAAATTAATGCTGCTTACTCATTTGTGCGTGTTTGACTCTGAGTTTTTACAAAAGATTTGTTATGCTTGACCATATAATATATCACTTTATATTTTTGACCACATGATAAGGTTTTTTTAAATCTTTATTATCTCTATTATAATCTGTTAAATCAGTTATAAGATCTTAAATTTTATATTAGATAGTTTGATGCAATCATAAATTCTGTTTCATAAATGTGTAATATTAAAAGTGCTTCAATGTGTGTTATGTGTAAGTGGTTATATTGTTTCTGTGGCTTTAAAGTGTTGTGACTTGGTTTGTGAGTTTACAGCAAGAGTGTAGTATTATTGTAATTTTTTTTATTTTATATATATATATAGCTCTAGCTGCTTCTTCTGGCTCAACAAGTGTTGTTGTACTCACACTTGACTTAGTACATTATTTGATTGCTATTATTATACAATACTATTTTATAATACTGTAGCCATTTTTTAAAAAACTTTAAGGTAAAAAAAATAAATTTGACTTTTATACAAAATAAGCTAATTTAGATGCCAACAAATGTTATTGAATAAATATTTTCAAAGAATTATGAAAAAATTCATTTTTAGTTTAAAAAAATGTTTTAAAAAAAAGGTTCCTCTAATGATTAATTTTTAATTAAGTTCCTAAAATATGTAACAAGCATCTTAATGTTGTACAAATATTTCCTGAAATATGTAACAAGCATCTTAACATTGTACAAATATTTCCTGAAATATGTAACAAGCATCTTAATGTTGTACAAATATTTCCTGAAATATGTAACAAGCATCTTAACGTTGTACAAATATTTCTTTTAATTCAATCTAACAATGTAATAAGTCAAGTTTAAGTGAGTACAATAGTTTATTGTTTTACTTACATTTAATAGTTATATACACTTATACTTGGCTTCTTGCATTGATTGATTGTAATTTTAATTTTTATGTAGCTGCAGCTTCTTCTGATACAATAAGAAAGATGTCCTATTCACTTATACTTGACTCAATACATTGATTAATTGTTTTTATTATTATTATTATTATAATGTTAGATTTTTTATAAGAAGTATCTTCCCTTCCCTAATTTATTATTAACAATAATCAATGACAATAAAAAAAGGTCAGGGTCAAACATTAGATAAAGTTGCTATATTAATCTCAAAAAGCCTTGGTTTTCGTACAAAAAATTCTATGTAGCATGCCCTAAAACCGAATCATTTGCATTATACATGCATAACAAGTCATTTGCATAACACCTGCATAACATTTGCATATACACATGCATAAACAAGGTATGTTATTGAATAAAAATTTCACAAATGTTGTATTTCTAAATGTTCTTAATTTTTAGTTTTTGACAAGTATTTTTATGTGTCATATGTGGTAATGTGTTTTATTATGTGTTATATAAGGCTATATAACACATAATAAAATTTTGTTGGTGTTTTTTAATGTGTGTGCTGTTAGTAGTTAAAATATGAATAATAAATCCTGGATAACTCAATAACCCTTAATTTAAACTGGTTTTAAAATCTTCATTTGAGCCTTTATTTATGGATTATACTGTCAGTAACTCTAGCATTCTCTAACAAGCTAATTTCCTTTTTAAGGTTTGAGTAATTTAGAGTTTACTGTAATATATTATGTTATTTGTTAATTTTGTGATGTTATTGTTGTATTGTTTTGTGTTGATAGATTAGAAGACTTGGTTTACTTTCACATTAAGGTCTTTAATTTAAAATGATTATTGGGTAGTTTCATTACTAAAACTGACTACATATAATATAATCATTTACTAAAAGCTAAAGATTCAGTTTTCAAATAATAACAAAGGTATATCTTATTTTGATTATTTATTTTTAGCCTTGCTTTTTTTTAAAAAGTTAATCCAAACTTGCAACAATAAATCTTGAAACTTTCATAAAAGATAAACAACCTCACAAAGTAAATTTCTTATTTGTTATCTGTTTAGTCACATTTTTGAGTTTTCAAATAAATAAATAATAAATGTGTATTAAGTGTATTCAATAATAATTTTGTTACATTTTTAGGTTGAATTCCTTCTCTTAAGACTGATTTTGAATGTTCCTACATAGCAGAATTTAAGAAATGTTCTGAATGTTGATTGTATTCAAAAAGCTAAAACGAAGATTTAAAATCTTCATACCATTTACTAAAAGATATATAACAATGAAAGATATATAATAATAAAAGAATGTTTCAAATTAAATTGTTTTAAATGTTTCAAATTATTTTTATAAGTATTTTTGATACTTTTTTATGTTGAATATAAATTTTTTTTTTGTAGTTTTTTCAAAGTTTATTTTTTTAATTTCATCAAAAGAAAATTTTTTTGTTTGTTTCAAATAAATTTCTATATTTTTTATCTTTGGAATGGATATATTGGCTATTTTTGCTTTATTATTTATATTTCCGTTATCTTTTTATATTTGAATGAAAATCATTTATACTTTTATCATCTTTTGTAGGATCAAGACGGTTTTCATTTGCATAAAGTATTGATTGCACAAACAACAGTTTTTTTTTACCTAATTCCGCAGCAAATAACATCTTGATTGTATGAATTTGTTATGAATGTTTTTTTACAGAAAGGCTTTTATAAAAAATATCAAACAAAAAATATAACTTATTTGAAATAACAAGTTCTCTTAGGCCCATTTTTCAACGTCCAAACTTGCTTTTTAAACAAATCCTTATAAGAGAGTTGAAATATTATCATAAGCCTAAGTTTCCAAAAACACCTGAAGAATGTTACGCAACTGTCTTATATGCTAAATACACTTTTATTATGTAAAAAATAAGAAAGTAAATAATAATGTAATAAGTAAAAATACTTAAAAGTTCTGAAGTATATTAAAAAATAACCAGAAGGCAAGAACTATAGGTAGTCAGTAAAATGCAAACTACGTACTTTTTAGTGAACCAAGTTATTTAAGCACAACAGTCATGATATTTATAAAATGCTTGCTTACCTATTTTTTAAATAAAATATGGTATTTAATATATTTTATTTAAATTAGACTGTTTTCTTTTATATTAATAATAATTTAACAAGCAATAGATTTATGGTTCGGATTTTACCAACTACCAGGACTTTAAATTAATTTATTTTTTGCCGTTTACTAAAATAAATAAAAGTATAAAGACTAAATTAGGAAATTAGAAATAGTCGGGTGTGGATTAGACTTACCACGACCCATATCGTACGGGTCATGACAGCTAGTATTTAAATATTATCTTATAATTTTCTCATTTGACGGAGTTGAAAATAGTTTAAGTTACTGTTCTAATTTACAGCTTAGGTTATAATTTAAAGTTTAAGTTGCAGTTATAGTGTAGTGAGCAAGTAACATATTTAATACTATTAAGATATTACTTTTAGTTATTGTTTTTACTTAACATGATACTTAAAAAAGTCAAAGTAAAAAATTAAGAGTAAAAAAGCAAATATTACAATATTTTAACCACTTTAATTAGTCATTGAAAACTATTCATTATGTTCTTGCTGACGATAAAACATGTGTTATTTTTAAAGAGTATTTAATTGTTATTGTAATAATAAACAAAAATATTACTTTTAAGAAATGCCAATAAAAAAAAAACTAAATTAAAAAAGAAACAAAAAAATTAACAAAAAAACAAAACAAAATTAAAACAAATGAACAAATAAAATGTTCAAATAAATTTCTTTTTAAATAAAATTCCTTGTGTATTTATATAAAATGATCTTGATATCGCTTTAAAAAAAAAAAGTAAAATGGTATCACATTTTTTATATTCTATTTGAGATTTCTTTTTAAAATAATTTTTAGTTAAAAGCTTATATTATGTGTTAACAACATATAAGAGATGAATAGAAACATTTACGGCTTTTTTTTGCGATTCTTTGAGTATATGAAGTAAATTTAATAGTTGAGTAGCTGTAAGTTACTGTTGTAACTTGTTGTTTTTATTTTGTTTAAAGATTATTTTACTGTGATGTACTTTATCCACTCACTAAATCAAACTAATTATAACTTTAAAACAATATTGGCTTCCACGCAAAAATTTAGAGTAATTTAAATTTAAAATCTCCATGCAAGAGAGCAAAGATTATACTTCTATTTGAAAGAGCAATTTAGCGTGACAAACTTTATGACCTACTTTATGACACCTAATAAAAAACTTAGACAAAAACATTACTTTTAAGAATGGCCAAAAATATGCTAAATTAGAAAAGAAAAAAAAATTAACAAAAAAACGACAAAATTAAAAAAAATTAACAAATAAACAAATCATCAAAATATTTTACAAAAATATACTAATTGGGAAGATGTGAAAAACAATTACGATTCGCGATCATGATACGCTTAATTCAAGCCTTGCATATGATATATGGAAGAATATTTCTTTAAAAAATGTTTTGCATACCTATTGTCTTGCCACACATATGACATATGGAAGCATATTTTTCATCATAGCACATTATGCAAATAGGCAGTCCTTGATCAACAAGATGTTGCTCACCAGTTAACCCTCTTTCACAGTAAGAACATATAAAATGATTAGAGTGATAAGCTTTATCTTCTGTACGAACATATTCTCCACCAAATATTAACTATAAAAATTTTTTTTAAATCAAGAAAAACTATGAATTTTATTAGAACAATGAAGGAAGATATATTAAATATATATTCCTTCATTGATCCTACATTGATGGTAAATATTTGGAAGATATATTTATAAGAAACACAAGCCTTTTCAGATGATAAAAGAGACACCCAAGCTTTTATCAGATTTCACAAAAGGCTGAAACCCTTTGAACTAAATCTATATTTCAAAATAAAATAAATTTAAATTGTAAAAGCCAAAAAATGTTTTTTTTTAATATTTAAAAAATAAAATAATAAAATCTTTTTTTTTTTTTTTTTGACATTTTTTTAAAATAAAATTTTATTTATATCTCAAGTTTTTATATAATAAAATATAAAATTTATAAAATATTTATATCTTAAGTTTAATCATCTAAAATAATAATTTAAAAACCTAACCTCCTAAGTTTCTTATAAACTTTCACTTCCTATATGCTAACAACAAAATTTTATTTTTTAAATATACTTTTAGGGGCTGTCCATTAATTACGTCAACAAAATAGGGATGAAGGGAGGGGAAGGGCCAATTGAATTGTTGAAAAGGGGGAGGAGGGGAGGAGGTCAAAAAAAGTTGACGTCAACATTTTTTTTTTTGAACATGTTATTTTTTTATATAAATTTAAATACATATAAAAAAAGTAAAATTAGGTAGGTTTTGCAGTCCTGTGTTATATAGTTGCTTAACCTTCAGTATTTTAATTCTTATCTTATAATTTATATTCCTACTTTTTAAAAACCGTTTTGTGCTTTAAACGACCCAACATACAGAACTAAATAACTACACACAAGATGTTTACTCGTAACGCTACTATTTTTCAAAAGTTATTGTTGTCTCAGTCTGCTGTGCAAACAAAAAAGATTCATGTAAGTACATTGTCTACATTATATTGTTTAAACGTTTATACAAGGGGTACAACCTGCAGCTTACAAGCCTCTTGTGGTTCTTTCAATGTCAAGATGAAACTCTTAACATCGAAATATTATTATCTGCATTATCTGTGAAATATTATTATAAACTGCATCTTGACATCGAAATATTATCTTGACATGCACAAATACTAGTATAATCAGGGATGCTAAATAACCGGAGTCATAAAAGGACTCTGGTTTTATATCTCTCCTTTTTACTGGTCTCTGGTATCCAAAAGCTCTGAACATGTCGATTGATTTATCACTTGCTAAATAAAAAAACTCATGAAATTTAATGATTTGAAACATATTGTTTTTAAGCCCGGAGTCCCAAAGTCCTAGCCGCAATCATACCAAGGACTTCGGGTTTAAAAACTCCTAACGATAAGTTCCGATAATTTTCGTGACTCTGCATTCCTAAATATAATATTAAAATAAAGATTTTGGTAGCTCTTTAAAAACTGAAAAACTTTGTATATTGTAACTTATGGCTCTTTTGCCTGAAAAGGTTGCCAACTCCTGGTTTATACAATTTGCTTTTTTTGTTATTTTATACTCTATTAAAAATAATTGGCTTTCACTGTAAATTTGTATTAGGTCTAAAGTGAGAAGAATTTTATTATTTTGAAATATGATTATAATTTAAATTTGTAAACATTTTTCTGAACCCTTTAATCTTTTTTTTTTTAAAGTAATTATTTTTATTTTGAAACTGGAATTATGTTTATAAGTTAAAAGTTTAATTTTTTTTTATACCTTTTACTTTAATTCACTTTTTGTTCAATGCAAGCATTTGTAATTTTAAATGATTATAATTATTTAAAAATATGTTTATAAGTTAAAATATGAATACATCTTTTATCTAAGCATTTTACTTTGAACCACTTTTTTGTTTCAGTTGTAAACGTGTCAATTTAAGACATTTTTTTTTCCATCTTAATTTTTTTTTTTTTTTTTTTTTTTTTTTTTTGGGGGGGGGGGGGGGGTTATCAAATATTGACTGCATCAAAAATTTATCTGCATCAAGCTAGTGTTTCTACAACTATGAAAAATATTTTTTGTTATAAAGTTTTTTGTCTTTGAGTTCTTTAACTTGATTTTTCAAACATTTAAATAGAACATTTTATTCTGCTAAATTCTTAAATAGAATAAACATTTTATATTGGGAAATACTAAAAACTTTGTCAAAGTACAACTGCTTTCAATAAAAAAAACAAAATATGCTCTAGGAAAAAAACCTGTAGACCGTAAGCACTAAAAACATCGAAACTTCATGGATAAGTTTAATAAGTTTAGTTTGCATACTCACCACATAAGTTTAGCATACCCACCCAATATGTTTAGTAGCATACCCACCACAAATTGTGTGGCATACCCACCTAATAAGTTTAGTAAGCATACCCACCACATCAGTTTAGTTAGCATACCCACAACATAAGTTTAGTTAGCATACCCGCCACATAAGTTTAGTTAGCATACCTACCACATAAGTTTAGTTAGTATACCCACTGCATAACTTTAGCATACCCACCACATAAGTTTAGTTAGCATACCCACTACATAAGTTTAGTTAACATACCCACTACATAAGTTTAGTTAGCATACCCACCGCATTAGTTTAGTTAGCATACCCACCTCATAAGTTTAAAATAAAAGCTTGTAAGCAACTTAAAAATTCAAATAAAAAATAAATTACCTCATCACACATTACACATCTTGGTTTAATTTGCTCAGCATGGTGTCTTACACAAAAAATATGTTTTTTACGGTAACCATATACTAGATCAGCAAGAAGCTCATTACAATGAAAGCAAGTAAAACAAGATGGGTGCCATGTATATTCTTTATTAGAAGGACCCCCTTCAACACAAACATCATCCTCAAAAATAGTTTGTTTGCAGTTCTTGCATTTCTAAATTATTTTTTAAATCTTGCTTTTACAAAATTATATGTATTATATTGCATAGAAAATGCAATATTGCATAACATACAAGATACAAGAAAGATTGAAGAAAAAGATCCAAGAAAAGAAAAAATTACAAAATAAAAGTACATTTGTATATATCACAATAATTCTAATCTTACCAAATTTTCCTTTGCCTGTATCACTTTCCCCACAGATATTTCTGGGTCCCTTTCTCTTTTAAAGGCATCAAGTAAATATTTTTCTTTAGGAGTTAGGGTGGTTATACTTTCTATATTTGAATCTTGAAGTGGTATTTGCAAAATTAGTTGTTTGTTATGATACTTTATTCCTTCTGGATTGTTAAAATGGGGTACTTTTTCTTGTGGAAGACCAGAAAAATACTGTTCAATCTGTGACAAAGTAAATTAAAAAAAAAAGTTTTAAATAAAATTTACCAAATTTTATATCAAAAAAGAAAAAATAAAATATACCAAATCTTCATCTAAACCAGGTGGAACCCACAAGTACTGTTCTACTTCTTTAGGTGCTAACTTAGTATTGTCATCAATAATGCTAACACCTTTCAATTTAAAGCCATTGCCTAAATCGCTTCCCTCAATCTCATGGTCAACTTTGTCACATTGACAATTTGTGCAAACTTTTCTAAAATCAAAAACTTTTTTTAAATTACATGCTTCTAAATACACAAGTGGATAAAATGTCACAAACTTACTCAAGAGAATCATGTGATGTTGATCCACTAGAAATGTTTGATAATACACTTGAATTTCTACTTATCCTAGGTGGTTTAGGTGGCGGTGTACGCTTATTAGCTCCATTTTTATTTATACTATTTTGTTCAATATTGTGAAGTAAATCTTTAGAAAATTGTTCATTAGGAGACATTTTATTTAGTTCTTTTTTTCTATCAAAGCCACCGTTTTTAACCTCATCTAATATATCCAAATTGTTACCATTTATTGTATTTTTTGGAAGAATTGAATTAAATGTTTCATGTAATAATGGTTGAAAAGTTGACATTTTATAAAATTTGAAAAAATCTTATAGCAAGCATACTTGCAGGAAGTGCAACCAATAAAAATAATTAACTCTACTAAAATAAAATAAAACAATTATATATCTGTTTTACATTTTAAAGTTTATATAAGAAAGTGTTAACAACATTTAAATCCTTATATTTTCGAGCTGCTTCACAAACCACAATATTGTCTTCATTGCTTATTAGCAATGGAAAATATTTTTGCCTTGTCTTTCTACACATTTCATAACTTTTACCGATAATATTTGTTTTAAGCTATTTTAATCTTGAATGAAGTTTTAAGTTTAATTTTTGTTTCTATCATTATCAAAAAATAATTTTCTTAAAACTTTTTCTTAATTAATCAGGATTTTACCAATATTATGTTACAAAAATCACTTAGATTCTTTGTAGCCACCATTACTAAAGCAGAAGAAAAATCTGAGGTCTTGTCTAAGTAGGACTTAGCTATGGAGGGTTTCATTGTTATGCATCACTATGCATTTTACTTTACCTTATATATTAGGTAAGATTTATATTGTTTTTATATTGTTATTTTTTGTTTATTTCCTTTCAAAAAAAATATATTCTTTAGATAATAATATTCATCAACAGATATAAACTTTAATCAACAGATATCAACAAATATAAACTTTAAAAATATATATACATCTCACTTTTTTTTAAATTTAAGTTACTAGCACTGATAACTACAAAATATATGGAAAAATGATCTATCTGGTTAGTACTAATTTGATTAAATGAAAAAAAAAAAGATTGTTGAAAAAAAAATTGGAGTTTTAAAACACAATAAGTTTTTGCATTTTTTCCAATGCTGCTAGACTAGGTAAATAAACAAATATTTCCTTTCTTAGCAATTCTTAGCTTCTGTGTAAATTTTAAAGTTTTTCTGTATATATATATATATATATATATATATATATATATATATATATATATATATATATATATATATATATATATATATATATATATATATATATATATATATATATATATGTATATACTTGACATATTATCATATTATAAATTATAATCCTATAATATATAAGATACTTAATACAATACTTATTATATGGTATAAATAAAATTACATAGTACAATGTGTAAAAATATTTTGCTAAAAGAATTCTAAAATAACTTAAAAAATTTTAAAACAAAAAAATATATAACTAATTAAGATTGAAATCAAGCATTAAAAATTAAAATAATTTAATACAATTTAGAGAGGTGTTTAGAGCCTTAATTAATACAGAATTTTTGATTCATCAGAATCAACATTCAATTTATATATCAAAATGTCAAACCAACCCAAGTATTGTATCAGCAAAAATAAGAATCCATAAAGATTTTGTAATTTTATGTTAAACAAATATTCAAATACATAAAACTATAAATTTTTTTGTAACTTGAATTTAATGATAAAGTTAAACGCTATTTAAACAAATCTGTTTGATTAAAAACAGACATCAATAATATCATGCCACTTCAGAAAGCACAACTGTGCTTTAACAGCTTTTAAGAATACTTATTTTGTTTTTCTTCAAATATTGTTGACCGTTTAAAACATTAACATTTTTAAAGCATAATGGTTTATTCAAACTTAACAAAAACAGTATAAGAAAACATTTAAAAAGAGATTAATTTGAATTTCTAGTCAATACTAAAATAAAACTTTTGCACAATAAATAAGTCTGGATTTAATAGAATCAAACATAAAACAAGTACATTCGGCTTTAACTGATTTTATAATAAATAAAATCAGTTTATTTGTATAATAAAAGAATAGACATCGTCAAAACAACAACATAAACTTTTATAAAGAATTATTGTAAAAGAAATATCCAACAGCATTGCCTTACAACATTTTTCAAATAACAAATGGCCGATTATTGATTTATTTAAAGGTTTTCTGATGCCAACTCACAAAAATGTATAAATATTTAAAAACAATCACAAATGAACAACAACAAAGTAAAAACTTTTTTTCAAAATAAATTTTTTTAAAAAGCAATTTTTAAAGATATATACAAAATAAAAGTTTAGAATTTAAGTGTTGGATAAAATATAATAAATTATAATTCAAAGAACAATTATTTACTGAACTTTATTTAAAATTAGTATTTAGAGTTAAAAAGTTATTGTTTATGCGTTCCAAATGGGTTAGGTACAGTCGGCAGAACAGAGCAGATTGGCTGATAATTTATATGGTACAAACGGCAGAGCGGATTATAAATCAGCTTTAAGTAATTTTTCAAATAATTTGATAGATCACATGCACGCAAAGTAATCTAAATCGAAAGTTAATCTTAAAAAAAATCAATAGTTTAGAGACTTAGGTCTTGCGCACAAATGTTTTTTTTTTTAGTAAACGCCTTATCAATAAAAGAAGCGATCTTCCGTATTTTTATGTGTGATCTGCCAAATAATTTGGCATATCACGCGTTAGAATGATTTGCGCAAGTTCAGGTAGAATGTATCACGTTTGGTTAATCAAGATCATGACAAGATCGATGGTAGAATGAATATACCATCAATATTTTTGCATTATTTTTTGAAAATATACCCTTTCTACTATCAACCTTCAATCAAACGTGATACATTGTACTTATAACGATTCTTTCTACCATTAAATTTCAATATGGAGTGCATCGTTTTTTATAACATATTTGGCGGATTACAACACTATAATTCTAACATTCCCAGCTAACCATTCAAAATGGGTCCTAGTTGTGATTGACTAAGATTAAGCTGGAATTAATGGGGCTGTGTTCAGGCTGGGAAATGATCTAGCTGCCAGATGGGTCGCATGTGGTGTTAAGCTATTGCCACAAATGGAATCTGGATTTCTACTGGAATTGGCACGAAGCTTCCATGAATGGTTTACGGCTGATTTGAAGATGGGACGCGGGTGTTATGATTTGAAGATGGGACGCGGGTGTTATGATTTGAAGATGGGACGCGGGTGTTATAATGTTAAGATGGGACGCGGGTGTTATAATGGTAACGTGTATTTTCTGATCAAGAGCAGTTTTATTGACATCGTTTTTATTAAAAGTAATATTCAGATATTTGTTTAACAAACAGTTTTGCTAGACTAAAAGAGTTTGAAAAAACACCAAAAATTGCTCAAAAAAAAAGTCACCCCTGGTTTACGTAACTAACAATATGGTCTTGATAACAATATGGTCTCTAAACTTGGCCTCATAACAATAATGTTCTCATAACAATATGGTTGCGTAACATGGTTATGAGGGGCGGAATATTTATTCTATTATCTTTCTGTTGAGGCTTTTAGAATGTTTCAATAAAATTGATAACTAATTAGTCAATCACTTTTATAAAAAAAAAAAAGTCGAAATGGGAACGGACGGGGTTGCCAAACCATTCTATATGTTGAATGCAAAAAGTTTGGCTGTAAAAAGCCAAAACAATGCTGTTTCACCCTGAAAAATGCCAATAAAAATGCCAAATTATGTAAAGTTTATTTTAATGCTCTATTTCAAATTTTTATAAAATCTCATAATATTTAATAGACTTTTTAACAATTTATCATAAGTTTTCAGGTAGAAAATCAAATTATGAATTCCAATGAAAATGGTACCCGGATTTGCGTCCGCTTTTTTTCTAATTTTTTTTTTGAAAAAATGTAAAGAATTTTTTGGGGGCCAAAAAAACATTTTTTTAGCCCCCGAAAAAAACATGGCGCTACAATACCTTCGCATGGTAGCCACAAGGCTATTTTAAAATTTCAAATCACTTTTATTAATGTTCATACAGTTCTGCTGAAAAACTTAATAAAAAAACTGGATTAATTAAGGAAAAAAAAATTAATTTTTATAAAACATTTATTGTTTCTTTTTCCATTTAATCTATTTTAGGAATCCAGTTAAGATCATTATTGTCTCCAATGCTGTTAGAGTAAATACTTAAATTAAATTTAGCGAGCGTTTTATTTGTGGCGTTGATTTTTTGTAGCATTTTTTGCGACTGGCAAGGAAGGACTTAATCCGTACCGAAGCACTATGCGTCACTTAGCGCAAATAGAATTTTAAATTTCTTAAAGATTTTTCCAATTTTAACTTTTCAAATACTTTTTTACGGAATTAGATTGGTAGTTCCTAATTAAAAAATAATAATAATTTTTTTTAACTTTCCTTTTTTAAGAGGGGGAATTTTAAGGCTAAAAAGCCACATGTTTTAGGTAAATTTTCGAATAGACGATATTCGAAATTAATTTTAAAAGGCGAGAAATATTTTTCCGTGCGTTTTTCATAAAACAAGAGTAAAATATTTTTAAATATTTTTAAATATTTAAATATATTTATAAATATTTTAAAATATATTTAAAAATATTTTAAAATGTTTTTAAAACAAGAGTAAAATATTTAAAAATATACAGATTTTCCTTTAAAAAAAGGTTTGTAAATAATTGAAAATATGGCTGGATGATGGATTACACCTTTACACAGTATTAAAGATTTAGTTGTTAACCAAAGTATGTAGTAATTAATAGTATTTGTGAAACAAATACTATTAATTACTACATACTTTGGATAACTACAATCCATAGTTAATGCTCTATTGGATATGTGATTGGTATAAGCTTCTGATATATAAACAATAAAAGAATTAGGAGCAACACCTATTAAAAACTTTAAAGTATTGTGGTGTTTTTATTCAGACCAAGTAACACTTTGCAATTCCAAATTTCTTGGGTTTTGTATAAAAAGTTCTGAACAGTCAATAATAGCTGCCAAATTTTTTTATATTCTTTAAATCGTAAAGTGCTTGTTGCATTTAACATGCCAAGGTCTGGTACAAATATTAGATGCTTACAAACTTCTGCTTATGTTCTTATCCAAGAATGAAATATTTTGGAACATGTGCTAATAGAAATATTAAAACGAATTGCAAGGTCTTTGTTAAATGATCCTAAACGAAGTTTCATTAAAGTCAGCAGAAACTCATCTTGTAAACATATTTTTCTTGCACGCCCAACTTTTTTTAGTGTTCCACTGACAGTTCTTTTAACAGGAACAGAATTAAATCA